AAGTGGCTTCGTGCTTCACCCAGAGTGGCTTCGACATCATTCTCTGTCGAAGTCTTACAACCCGAAAATTTACAATTTTTATGTCCTTTTTTGCCAGCGTCTAACCTAAGTTGTAGTTCTTTTTCGGCTTCCCGTCTTTCTACACGGTCTGCCAACGGCAAGTCCTTACGGATAAAAACTCCTGAACCCTTTAACTTATGTCCATTCTGTAAAATTAAGTCGTGTTCATTCGAAGATTTGAATACTACTTTAAGCAGTCTGGATTGATTAGGCTTCAAGTTCGCTAGACTCCCTAGTCTGTATACCTTTAGCAAGGTGAACCCGGTGACATTCTGAGGCATGAGTTGATTAAGTAGCTGTTTTATCAGCACAATGTCATGCTCAAAACGAGTTTTTGGTTCAGAGCTTTCACTCTCCTTGATTCTATGAAAAATAACCTATTTGTCACTGTGATCAGCCTTCGATTTCTCGACTACTTTTGCGGGGGCAGGATTCCCTTTTATATTGTTATGTTGTTTCTTCCTTACAACCTGTACTCATTCGTCAACGTTACTTGGAGAAGCAACCACAGTTGCGTCAAACATACTGTGGGATTCCGAAGGGTTTTTGACGACTTGGGAGGTCAGGTTATGTTTCCCGCTAGAAACCGATCAAGACTTGCGATTGCAGCTTCTAGGCGTTTCCTGCTGGATACCATTTAGAAGACGGGGGATAGAAGAAACTTCTTTTCTTGAGCTTTTAGTTAAGACAGACCTCTTTGAAGACTGTTATTCCTCCTTTGGTCGGTGTGAGTCAGTTGTTTTCGAACTCACCTGAGTTTGCTCCACACCTATTCGCGTGTCGAATGAGCGATTACTGTCCGATGTGTCCCGGCCACGCTTGCCAAAACACTTTTTTGCAGCATTTACCAATGAGATGGCCTCGGTTAACAAGCTATTTGCATCTGAACAGCACTGTTGACAGAGCCATACGCAACCGTTTTTACTGAACCGTTTGAAAGCCACAGGCGTTAAATTCGTGCAAACTTCATGGTATCAGCCTTTGCACTCATCGCACTGCATGCCGCTTTCAACGGGATAACGACAGCCCGGACGGGGGCAATTGCTTTTTTTGCACTGTCCAGTCATTAAACAGAGGATTTTATTAAAAAAAGAACTAGATGTAATAATACTCAGAGACAAAAATGATTTATAACCAAAAAAAGTGGAAAAATGTAGATTGTTAGAACCAAAAGTACTAACAGATACAATAGAAAACAAAGTACTCAAGAGTACCGACGACAAACTACTTCAGAAATAGAAACGATACTCTAGTCGAATACTTTAACTGAAATGAATTCAATTAAAGTGAAAACAGTAGTCTTGATACGTAATAAACGATCAAAACAATGGAATTTACTGAGCGAGGAAAAATACCACTGTCCTTTAAATTAGCGCGCATGATTTCAATGAATATACATTAAAACAATTAGTCCCTTTGATAAATTTCGATAGTGATATTAGAAGACGAAGATTAACAGAACTATGTGATATATTAGCGCAATACATTTCGAACAATCTGGTCACACATATACTTGTTAAGAGCATTTATATATAAAAATAAAAGGTCAACTAGACAGGAAACGGGGTAAGAGGAGATAAGGATAATGATAAGAGTAATAATAATAATAATAATGTGAACACAAAGCGAAACCTAATCACTCTGGATAATAGGTCAATATTACCAGGGTAGGTTTAAGGTAAGGACAAACTGTTTTTGAACACCTAAAGGGGGTTTGAATTTTCGTATGGCTAAGGCTTCAATAAACCTTAGTATACGCCCTTTTACACTTTTATACAGCACTACAAAAGCTGAATATAGATCAATCTTGTGACCTGTTTCAATTATATGTTCAGCAATAGAGGATGATGGATGTTTATTCTCTGCTCTTATTGGGTCACTTGATTGTATTTGTTTCTGAAGCCATTTGGGTACATGTTCACTCACCCTAATGTTGAGATCACGATTACTCCTCCCTATGTATGTGTGACCACACACACATTTAAATTGGTAAACACAGTGGGATGTGACGCAATCGTTTCCATGTACTTTAGGTTTTGAATGAAGGATGCACCTTGTTCTTTCTTTGATGATGACCTTTGCTGCGCAATAGGTTTTATTGATGACTGATTTAAGTCGTTGTTTCAATAAAAGGCTATTTGAATCACCTCCGAATGGTAAGGTGATGTAGACAGGCTTTTTCTCTACCGAGGCTACAGTAGGTCTCGCTGTACCATGGACTTTCCATCTATTTATGAATTTCAGAGGATAGCCATTTTCTATGAACGTTTTACTTAACAACTTAACATCATCATCAATGGCGTCATTGGTACAAATACGGTCGAGTCTGTTGAAAAGACACCTTATCAAACCACGTTTGTATTGCACAGGGCAATAACTATAATAACTAAGATATTGACCTGTCCACGTTGGTTTTCTAAAAATAGATCGCTTGACTGAACCATCTTCTCGTCTACTCAGGAGTATTGCGCTAATATATCACATAGTTCTGTTAATCTTCGTCTTTTAATATCATTATCGGAATATACATTAGTTTTTTTTCTGGATATTTTCCCGTGCACAAACGATCATTACTGCCTTATAAATGTCCATATGGACTTGCCAGGTCTATGTCTTTATTTTCTGCATTATTTTTTTCCTATCCGCAGCAATCATTATTTGGTAGTCACGTAATTTTTTTCGTAACTTTTTTCGTTGTTACTGTTTGTAGTTTACGCAATGTTAATAGGTTCCCAAATTCTTTAATTAAACATCTAACCTGGTACCTATCCTAAATTCTATATATATTTTCATAAAGTTGCAAAAAGGTAATGGTTTTTTACTTATTACCAGTTCATTTATGAACGTTCTTATTTGAATTTAATGGCTCCCATTAATTCAATGGCCTGTTTAAACGCCACCAGTGTCTAAATGTCATAGGTAAATTCATTAAAGCAATCATAATAGGTGAAATTACTTTTAGACACAGAGATTCGAAATTTTTAGGAACTGGTTCTACGGTTTCTTGTTGACTAGTAAATGACCAATATCAGTCTTCTCAGCCTGTTTTGCCTATATCTATTAATAGCATTCCAAACAAATTGCTGCACCTTCATGGGTTTTATCACTGTTGGCTGCAATATATGAAATATAATTTCATACAGCAAGAGAATTCTGAAGTAAGGAATATTTTAATGGTTTTTATAATCTACCACTACTCAAATTCACTTAACTAGTCTATCTTCAATAAATGCGGTAATATTTTGAAATAAGTATGATTTAATAACTATAGTTGTTGATCAATAGAATGTAAAATGAAAAAGACATAATGTTTCATAACCATCTATAAACAATCTGTTCTGACTGCTTATAAGCTGCATACTTACAATTAAATCACAACTTTTTCAATTTCACATTCAAAGTGTGGGTGAGAGAGAGAGCGAGAGCGAGAGAGGAAACAAATCTCTTGAATATTTTACAAAGAATTTATTTTTATAGGTAATTTCACTTCCATTCGAATTTATTTTGTTATGATTAATATTCTTCTATTTCAATGAAGAAAGTCATTTTCCTAGTTTGTTATTTTTTCTTCTTATGTATGTATTTATGTAACGAACTTATTTAATTGATTCTTTATAGCAACATTTAATTTGACTGTTTTCGGTAACTGGAATAATATGTCCGATCAATAGGGAAAAAATGGTGATATTTCTTACTACTTAAAGAAAAAAAAGAGAATTTTGTGAAACTTTAACATTACAATGACCAACACAACTAGATTTTCATTTATTACTTAGTATATATACAACTTTCTGTGAAAATATATAAATTTATTGGATATTTTAAGGATTAAATATGATTTCCAATAAAAGGATTTCGTGATTAAATGGTAAAACTTCTAAACTTCTTCTTTCTAAAGAACTTGGATTTTTACATTTTCCATACTCATTTGTCTACACTATTACTATGACGCTTCCAGTATGGTGATTGTAATTTTTACCAATATAATAACTAAAGCTTGTTTTTTTCCGAAAATTCTTTCTATTTCTGTAATTTTAGCATATTATTCTAATTTGTAAGGGTTTGGGTTATCCTGTTTTTGATATTTTTGGTTGAATTTTGGTCACAGTTAGTTGGAAAACCTTCATTCTTTGTGGATCTCCTCAATACACTCATTTTATCCCAAGTTCAATAGAAGAGATTTACTATGGCTGGCAGTTGAATCTAGCATTGCTAACCAAACCCACCTCTTCAATTTTATGTGTTAAAAGTAATTCGAACATATGTTATTGACGATAAGTTATTTCTATTTAGCATCAGAGAAATTTTCTTCATTAATCCAAGTTTTTCTATTACTAGTTGAATAATTGGTAAACTTAATTATATCATACGGAATTATATGAAAGTTAGACATATTATGAAAATTTAATTGTATTTCACTCTACCAGGTTTCACAATAATGTTGGTCTATTACATTAATATTATTAATAATGTTAGGAATATCATTCTATAGAATTTTACAATGGAAATGAATAGTTAATTTAAAATCTACAAATAAAAAACATTCAATAAATCATTTTTTTTGTAAAAAAAAATTAGTAAGATGAAGTGAAACATTAACATAAAATTATGAACAAGGAGTGTATATCGTGTCATTGTGTGAAAGACAAAATAAAAGTTGTTTATTTCACTTACTATCAAAAAAAGTGTTCATATTGATTAGAAGTTTTTTTTGACAGAATGTTTAGTTGGAGAATTAACAAGTGCTTTAGAACAACTATGTGCTTTAATGTGTTGATGAGTGTATAGTGAAAGGAATGTATGAATCCACAATACAAATGAAAAGTTGAATAATAAATCTACATCAAATGCTTTATTGAGTAATTGCATTTCCGTGATACATAAAATGGGATACTTTCACGAAATGTAAAATGAATAAAGTTGAATTTCATGATTATACATTATGCACATTGACAATCATGAATATTATTCTGATCTGTTATTAAAACTGTGCCTGAAATGAAATGATTAGAAATTCGGAAAATTAACCTTATTTACTAACGAATAAAATAACAGTATTTTCGTGTTAATTTACTAATATTGTTGAGTGAAATTATTTATCTTCCCTGGGCATAGTAATTTATAAAATATTTTCGATGAGCTTGGTTCGAATAAAACATTTAACGTATTTACCGAGAACTTTATAGCCGAATAATTAAGAGATTTAGACGATTGCCTTTTAGGATGCATGCAATCATAATGGCTTGTATACTCAGTGGTTGTAGATTTGATTTCAAACCATTGTATACATTTTAATACAACAGAAGTAAAAGGAAGAAAGCCCAAGATGAATTAAAAGCTGTCGAATCATCTAACTGATTAATAATTAATTTTTTCGAGCAACCAAAAGTTTTGAAAACAATATTCATTTTCATAGGGTAAATGGAGTCTAAAATAAAATTTTTAAATAGTATGTATCACTGACACATTGTGATGAAGCAATAGAACGATTAATAAAGTTCTTGAACAGAAATTCGCAGATTAGCTCTTCAAATGTCGCTTGTATAGTTATCATATTATCCTCTTCTATAACATTTCATTAGGACTTAATTTGCTTGAGTTTCCTACTGCTCATTACTTAAGAAGATTTTTCATGTATTTTGGGAATTTAGACTGCCTGATAATATCAAAAATGTTCCCTAAACGTGGTTTTCAAGTAAACATATACAAACGTTAAATTATATATTTATAACTGACAAAAATATTTCCAACGGCTTCACAAAAAATGAGAATATCAATGAATGATTTTTTGAATAGGCCACTCGTACTCAATAAACAATAATATGTATTGAGGTTTTGTTGAATCTGGTCACATTTCGTCAAGAAGCACCTCAAAGTAATACCATTGGCGATTTGTAACCGCATTGAAGTTTTAGATACTTTGTGTAAATTGTTTTAAAGTCATAAAATAATGACTAGTTCACAACTCTCACCGATTTAAAGTTATTAATTGGAATACAGTTTATAAGGATAAACTATTGTTGAAGTTACTCTACACTCTCAGGACGATATTTATCCTTATAGACCCTAAAATTACACTTAGTTATAAGCTAAATTCTCTAAAAACGCTTTGCAAAAATACCGTAGCAAGAGTTCGTGAAATGAGTTGAACTGTCACATCTTTTCAACTCACAAATGGTCAATCAAAAACAATCTACATGTTTACACTATTATATGAATAACTATTGGTAGAATACATTATATGTGAAAATTATATTTGAAATATTCTCAGCGATTGAAATATAACTAATTCCAACGTTTCGTCCAGCTAACTTGTCTGGACTTCTTCAGGGTAATAATCAAAATCAAAATTATCAAAGAAATATATAGCTTTTTAACAATCAGGATTATACTGTGTTAAGCCAATCATATTTGGATGTTGATTTTTTAAAATAGGATAAAATGAGTCAGTTAACTACAAATTATGTGAAGAATTCAACTACATGGAAATACTTAACTGAGTAACAAATCGTATGTGTGTGAGTGTGTAGGTATGTATGTATGTGTGAGAGATTGATATGAAGGAATAAATAAAGTTCGAGTTCAAGGATGAAAAATTGATAATGAAACATCGATGTACATGTCAAAACGTAAATTGTATTGTTTAAAAAATTCATTGAATTCTTTCAAAATAATAACGATGCATGTGATATTAAAAAACAGGTTCAAACAAGAGATAGGTTCCAAATTTACTTGTCAAACGAAATTTGCCAAGTAGTTGCCAGTTGAATACCATCTTTTCGGTTCAGGCTGTTCTTGTTCGCCCATATATGCAGCGCTTCTGCTGTCAATCTTTCTTTATGGGTGTTAAAACCATTTTGAAGTATTTTGGTCCCTTCAAAATTAATCTTGTGCCCTGCTTCTAACGCATGTAACGCTATCGCTGACTTATTTTCAAGTTTCCTTAAATCGACCGAGGATTTTGGAACATTTTTCAAGCATTGTTTGTGTTCCTTCAATCTTACATTCGATTGCCTGGACGTTCCTCCAACATAGGTAGCATTACAATCATGACAGTGAATCTCATACACAGCTGAGAGGGGACAAAACGATCATGATAACGAGAGCAGATAAAGGTAATACTACAGTTATTATGAATAAAACAGAGTATGAGAAGAAAGCCAAGGAACATCTACAAGAGGGTCCATATGAACAAATCAAAGAAGCAAAAAGTAGAACAACTCTTAATAAACTCAAGGCAGAAACTAGCAAACTCTTACAATCATTAAAAGCTAAGCTAGGATCGTCCTTATGGCTTATGTTATATCCAAAGAGTTGTAACCCATGCAGATTTTATGGACTACCAAAGATTCACAAGATTAATACTCCACTAAGACCAGTGGTAGACTATACAAATTCACCGACTTACAATCTAGCTAAATATTTAGCTAAGATTCTCAAACCATATGAAAGACGGATTAGTCATGGAATTAAAAACTCTATGGAATTCAAGAATTTAACTGATGCCATCGATATAGAAGAAGACGAAATAATGGCAAGTTTTGATGTATCTTCCTTATTCACTAATGAACCTATCAGTCGAGCTATGGATATTATCAATGATTGTTTAGAATCTGATTTAGATTTGAATTTACGATGCCTATTAGATCCATCAGAGGTTATACAATGCTTAGAATTATGTTTAAGATCTACCTTATTCATATTTCGAGGTCAACCACCATCTAAATCTCAATACATAGTGCCCGCAGTGTCGAGTCACCTAGACTGGTGGCCACACTGCAACATGATCGATAGCATTCGATCTGCACTAATAAGGACTAGACAAGCATGACATTGATCACCACCCAGTGATCAATCAATTGTGATTACATCTCAGTCCTACAGGAGGTTAGTCACGGCCCGGATAGCTCAGTGGTAACGTCTCTGACTGTGAAGCTGGGTGACACGAGATCGAATCCGCCAGGGAGCACCAGTTCCCTCAAGATTACAGGTACACGGTTTCCTGTTGACTACCTCCAACCACCATCTAAAAGGTCAACTTTACAGACAGAAAGAGGGTATAGCAATGGGCTCACCACTTTCTCCGATTGTAGCGAATTTATTCATGCATTCCCTAGAAACTAGTGCAATCGCAAAAAGTTTATGTCCACCAAAGTTATGGTTAAGGTATGTAGACGATATTTTTATTATCAATAAACGGGATGGTATGGAAGAACTATTTAACAATGCAAACAGCATTTCTGAAAACATTAAACTAACTAAGGAATTAGAATCAGTTGACCACAAACTAGCATTTCTAGATTGTTTGGTTGAACGTCGACACAATAATAAGAAGTTAAAAATAAATGTTTACAGAAAATCAACACATTCCGAGAGATACTTGGATTTTAATTCAGCCCATTCACAGAGCACGAAAATTAATGTGGTAAAAAATCTAATGAACAGAAGTACTAAGATTGTTACAGACAAGGAAGACCAACGAACCGAATTAAATAAAGTATTTTCTACTCTTAGGGATAACAACTACCCAAAAAGGTTTTTAAAAAGATTATTAAAAATGAAAGAAAAACTAAACTAGAAAGTATACGAAAAGAATGGAAGTACACCGTAGTCATACCTTACCGGAGTGAAACATCAGAAGAAATCAAACGGATTCTAAACAAACATGATATAAGAGTGTATTTTAGAGCAAATAACACATTAAGATCGACATTAGTGAAAGTTAAGGACAAGTTAGCAAAGGAAGAACAACAGAACATTGTGTATGAGATTCACTGTCATGACTGTAATGCTACCTATGTTGGAGAAACATCCAGGCAATTAAATGTAAGATTGAAGGAACACAAACAATGCTTGAAAAATGTTCCAAAATCCTCGGTAGATTTAAAGAAACTTGAAAATAAGTCAGCGATAGCGTTACATGCGTTAGAAACAGGACACAAGATTAATTTTGAAGGGACCAAAATACTTCAGAAAGGTTTTAACACCCATAAAGAAAGATTGACAGCAGAAGCGCTGCATATATGGGCGAACAAGAACAGCCTGAACCGAAAAGATGGTATTCAAATGGCAACTACCTGGCAAATTTCGTTTGACAAGTAAATTTGGAACCTATCTCTTGTTTAAACCTGTTTTTAATATCACATGCATCGTTATTATTATTGAAAGAATTCAATGAGTTTTTAAACAATACAATTTATGTTTTGACATGCACATCGATCTTTCATTATCAAGTTTTCATCCTTGAACTTGAACTTTATTTATTCCTTCATATCAATCTCTCACACATACATACATACCTACACACTCACACACATACGATTTGTTACTCAGTTAAGTATTTCCATGTAGTTGAATTCTTCACATGATTTGTAGTTAACTGACTCATTTTATCCTATTTTAAAAAAATCAACATCCAAATATGATTGGTTTAACACAGTATAATCCTGATTGTTAAAAGCTATATATTTCTTTGATAATTTTGATTTTGATTATTACCCTGAAGAAGTCCAGACAAGTTAGCTGGACGAAACGTTGGAATTAGTTAAATTTCAATCGCTGAGAATATTTCAAATATAATTTTCACATATAATGACTTCTCTATACTCGGCGCTCAATTGCCGTCAAACTATTCGTTCTTATCTTGACGAATATTCGTATATATTGGTAGAATAAGTAATAGAAACCAGTAAACTGTTTAACATAACACTAGCTGAAGACATTAATGTAAAACAAAAGCGTATTTGACAGACTAGAATATTTAGTGTAAAATCTATTCGTGTGACTGCTTCAGAGCATAATACGCGTTTTTATGTTTTCATTCTTCCTCATTTATGTAAACTGTAAGATCAGTACACTAGTGAGCTAGCAAAGGCGATAGATTTTTAACAGCAGAGGTATATGTAAATTAAATGCAACAAATTAAAAATAATAAATATAGGCAACAAGAGGATAAGGAAATACAAGAATGCAATAATAAAGTTTAGAGATTGTAATAAACCACAGTAGTTTACAACGTCCAATCATCAACCAAGTATTCCACAATGCTTAGGCTAGTAGAAAGTAACTGAATTATTCTAATATAATTACTTAAAATGTAGTCTAGACACAAATTTTTATTCTAATATTTCTTTCCAATATGATCTCATTATAGGGCCTTTTTGAGATACACAGGTCATCAACGACTTCTAATTACAGTAGATCCTGAAAGTGTTTATAGTACACGTGTTAATTTACAGGCATAATCAGGTTGACACAAAAGTGCAGCCAAAATTTTAAAAATAAAGTTATAATATTACTGAAATGGATGTGATTCATAAGTTATTTCAAGAGAACATTATTATAAGCCTTTTAATAATGTGAACCATAAGATGCATACAAAACGCATAATTATAAACGACACAAGTGTGCAGAAACAAGTCAAAGGACTTTTAACTGACAGTGCACATTTTTCTGTAACCACACGATATTATTTCTTATTTAAGAATACAGGCGTTAAAAATCGATATGTATGGATAATTAAATATTACATGATAGGAATTAACTTACCTAAGACATAACTCTGATATACCGATTATATTTGTACTCCCTAAGACAGTCTATCTTAATGTGATGTGTTTACTGGTAGTGTTGCCTTATCGTCTATTAATTGCGATGACTGAAGTAAATCAACACTGAATGGTAACTGATGTGTTGTTACAATATTTGGTGTAACTTCATTAAATGTTGTATCCTGTAGTTGTGGTGTTAATATTAAACAATTTAACATATCATTTTTACTATAATTAATATCAGTTGGTTTTCTAATAGAAGAACAAGTTCTCACAGTGTTTGAATGATTATTACAAAATAAAAGTTTACTTGAATTTAAACACGATGCAGAATCTGTTTTTGTATTATCTTCCATGGAATACAAACAATCACAAAAACTAATACAGGATTCGTTGACACTGTTTTGTTGATGATTTAACTGTTGTTGTTGTTGTCGTGGAAGTGATTGTTGTTGATGACATGAATAATGTTGATCTAATTTTGGTAAAGAAGATGGGAAGTTTTTAGTAGAATAGAATGATAAATGTTGCTCAGAATAATGATATTTTGCTTGACGCATTAACATTACCTCAATAACCATCGAAAACCACAAAGTAGTGAACAGCTGTGTCAACTTAGTATGGGGTATCTCATCACTGTAGGTCTAAGCCCTTCCCGAATTCAGACCAAAAACAACTAGAATTTACAGTGAATTCCTTAATTTTAGACCAGTGGGTGGACGTCAACTTTCTCATATTCATTAGTCTATTGGATTGATGACAATGAGGAACTGCGAGTCGTCTCACTCTAGATAAAATCAGACTTATTTGGTCACAGCTCACTGGATTTTTAGAAATCATACGAATTCAGTCACAGATGTTTACCTAGATGACATCAGCTGGTGATATAAACTCCAAAGTTACAAATGTTTAAAACTGTAAATAAATTTAGGAAGAATTTAGTACAATATTTGAAACTTGTGTTTAGGTATTTACATGAGTAGTTCAAGAGTAAAGTCTTCCCGGTGACTTCCCGAAACCACCCTATATCACAAACCTCCTTTATTGGAATCGGTTATTTATAGCAGTATGGGATAAGAACTATAAAGCCTGTCAGATAAAAGAAAATCTTATAAGTTCTTGTTAGAATTCCTTAAACATGATATTTAACACACAACTGAATAGCTTCAAAGTAAATCTATGTATCAAAGTATACAGCATAAATGAATAAACCTGAAACAAAATGAATGAAAATATTGAATGAAGAGTAGATAAGATCAGAACACATCATGTACTTATTTTTTTAACAGAAAAAAACAAACAAAAGGATAGAATAAATGAACCATAAAGTGTTGTTTTTTTATCATGCATCATATTTGTTATATGTAACTCCTAAAACTTTAATTTTTTTACGAGAAATATAGACATTTGAAAGGTACACATATAGGGGTCAAACAGGGTGAATTTATGAACATCTTTACCCTCAAGATATTTTGCTACCATTGTAACAAAAGTATTGTTTATAAATATGTGCATGCATGTTTGTGCGAAGATGAATTTTTTGAAACTAGGTTTTACTTATACATAATAAAATATACTTTTTAGGTGTACTCCACAAACTAAGCCACATAGAAGCTACATTTGTCTTCAATTTTTACACCAGGGAAATTTTTGATGAAATGGTTTGTTACCATTGTCGTTTCTGATAACGCCAGCCGATTGTGTTTGAGAACAAACAAAATATGAAGACAGTCAAACTCAGTACCGAAATTTTCTCAATTAAAAAATCTGTTGTATAAGTGACGAAAAATGTCTAGTTTTGAAATGTTAACTGAAAAATTATTTCAATTTTCATTAAAAGAAATATGTCTAGAAAACTCTCAGTTGTGGAATTTTAATGTTTTACCAACGGTATAGAATTCAATAAGTCATTTGAAAAAGAACGAAATAAAGAGAATTCAACGAAGAAACTTTTCTTTCCAACGAAATAACTTACTTAAGCTGTACATTCTTATTTATAGTATTATAGTAACTATATGTCTGTAGAAGGATAAAAAAGATTGCATCATAGAAAGTTATTCGAGACTCAAAATATCAAATAATTTTGCTTAATAATCAGGGGGTTAGAGGAGAATATAAGGATGAAAATTATTTACGGGCTAGAATTATGAAAGACAATTGTCCGCCTGACAGATGTTAAAAAAAATGAAAAACCCACTTGATATTTGGAGTTTTGAAAAACTTTGTGATGCAATATTGTCCTATCTTCTATCGACATATATCTAACATACAATTATAAACAGAAATGTACAGCTTAAGCAAATGATTTCGTCGAAACGAAAATTTTCTTCGCTGAGTTCTCTTTATATATACTCAAGATACAATAAGTTATTTTAATTACCTGTGAAACAGATTGGAAAGAAGGACATCTCATCAAAATACCAAAGAAATGAGATCTCGATAAATGTGAGAACTACCGAAGCATCACGCTACTGTCGGTATCAGGAAAAGTTTTCAACAGAGTGTTCCTGAACTGGATGAAAGATTCAGTAGACGTTCAACCTTGAGACCAACAGTCCGGATTCCGTAAGGATAGATAGTGCACAGGCAAAATCATGACACTACGGATCACCGTTGAACAATCAGTTGAATAAAACTAGTCACTAGACATCAACTTCCTTGACTATGAGAAAGCATTTGACAGTGTGAACAAAAGAACCTTATGGAACATGTTTCAACACTATGGTGCATCTGAGAAAATCGTCGATACCATACGAAATTCATACGAAGGACTACACTGCAAAGTCATGTATGGGGGACAGCTGACAGGCGCATTCCAAGTGAAGATTGGAGTCAGATAAGATTGCTTACTCTCTACGTTCCTCTTTCTTCTGTTGACTGACTGTATTATAAAGACCACCATGCCTTAGAAGAAGAACGGATTACAGTGGACAGCTTGCATACAACTAGACGGTTTGGACTGAGCAAATGACCCAGCCACTCTATCCCATATAAACCGACAAATACAGTTGAAAACAACTAGTGTAGCAGAAGCCTCTGCATCAGTAGGCCTCAAAATACACAACGGAGAAAACAATATCCTCAAATACAACACAGGGAACACCAATCCAGTCGCATTTGGTGGTAGCAACTTCCACGTACCTGAACAGTATAATCGATGAAGAGAAGAGCAGGCGAGGATCAGGCCGCATTCCTACAGTTGAAAGATATATGGAACTCAAAACGACTGTCAGGCAACATCGAACTCAGAATCTTCAATGCGAATGTAAGGACAGTGAGTTCTACTGTACGAGCTTAAACTTAGAGATCTACTACAACCATCATTCAAAACGTACAGTTATTTCTAAACAAATGTCTACTCAAGACACTCAATGTCCGTTGATCGGATACCATCAGCAACAGCCTACTGCGTCAGAGAACCAATCAACCTCGAGCTGAAGAGGAAATTAGGGAAGTACTCTGAAGATGAATCGGACATATAATATGGTAATCGTCAAAGTGCATCATGAGGCATACTCTAACTTGAAATCCTAAAGAGAAAGGGAAAAGAGAAAGATCAAAGAACACGTGCCATCAGGAGTTGGAGGCGAACATCAAAAGACTGAATAGCAACTGGAAACAACTGGAAAGGAGGGTCTAGGACAGAGTTTGATGGAGAATCCTGGTGGGCGGCCTATGCTACTCCACGAGGGGTAACGGGCGCAAGGAAATAAGTAAGCAATAGCAGTTCGACTTCCAAATAGACTCGGAGCGAAATCCCCATACATTTAACTACATGCTGTTTTACTACAAAGCGATGTTTATCCATTTCTTTTATGTTTACAGAACTACCCACAGTACAAACTGTCTCAACTAACATCAGTAGAGATAACGAGGAGATAAAGAAAAACTGAACTGCTAAGAACTGCATCAATAATGAGAATGTAAAAGCCAATGAAATGTTTTTGTTACTTTTCCGCTCTATTCAGAGTATTGATAAATCAGTAAGAAAAGCGATGATGTTTCAACTATCACAGATGTAAACACACAGTGCCTTCATATATAGGCGTATGAAAAAATTTACACCTTACATTTCCATATTATAAAATACATATCATACTGTATGATGCGCAACCAGTACATTTATTTTGTCATGGTTGCTCACTGCTTACGAAATCTAGATAAAATCAAGCCAATGTACTAGATAAGCTAATGGGTATGTAATATTCAGTAAAAAGATTTTCAAAATGATAATTTCGGAAAAGTAGTTTTAAGGTAATTTTTCCTACCTCCCGTTTTTAAAATGAGCATTTTGAGTAAATATCTTAACTTCTACTTCACATTTAATAATCTGTGCTGCTAACTGATTCTTTTTTTTCCTTAGAAGATTTCTTCATCAATTTGGTAGTAAACTACTTCTGAAAATTAAAATAAAGGTCACTTCTGTATTTTCAAGAATACACTTGAGATTGAACTTTATTTTCACTAAACGAACAAACCTTGATTACTGTTTCCAGATGTAACATCGGTCAGAAGTGGAATGCCTGTCAAAAAGAAGGTTGAAAAGATTGAAATGAAGAAAACGGAAAGGGAAACATGAAAGAATTGAGAATCCGAAGAGTCATAAAGGATGTAGAGGACAACTGATGGAAGATGTGCGAATAAAGTATTTAATGTATGGTTTTCATAATTTACGAAGGCACTCCGTAATTTTGCACTCAACAACAAATTGGTTATCTTCACCAATTTTTCGTTTACTACATACTAAGAAAATGGATATTATCGTAACAGTAATCAGAACGTCAAGTGAATAGTACATACTTGTGTTCGCATGTGATTGTTCACCTTCACATTCAGTGGTAGAATGCTCAGATACATCCATGCAGTTAAAACCATCCACATCAATTTGAAGAACTTTATTGTCCCATTTCGGTAATATCACTGAAGATCCCGGTAAAGTAGGTAAATTGTGTGTCATATATTGTGTTGATTCATTTGGACACATATTGAAATTATGTCGACAATTCTCTCCAAAACCTTTTGCAAATGGCTTATTCTGTAAACAACAATTACACTAAAATCTTTGAACTGTAAATATTCAATGGACTTTATGTATTAGATGAAGAAAATAAAGTGTAATTTAATTAGAAATGTAAACAATTAAGCTTGTTCAACATGAAACAAAAGTGTTTCTTTATCTTATTTTTAATGACTTCTCCAAAAAGAAGTGATATATTTTAGGAGTTTTCTTACCAAAGGTTTGATAGTTTTAGTTCAGTACCGTAGATATGTTTAGGTACATATGTTTTGAATTTGTTAATATCAATAACTACTTGGCTAAGCGACAGAGTATTTGAAACTCATGTAATTTTTATACCCATGAGATTTGCTGAGATTGAGGAAGGAAACATAGTATCACGGTTACATTTGTGGATTCATAAATGTATCCGAAGGTAACTTATCAAAACATACTTATATGATAGTTTATTAACGTAACATACATATAAGAATATTACTCTCTATTAAAGACGCAAATGCTACTGAAGATAAAACTGTTAAATTTGGTTAACTGTTTAGATTAATTAGTTGACTTGCTGTCATGTCACACATTATTCATCATGAATCATGTTCTGTATTTTAGTAGGAAGCAGTGAATAGTCACTCATAAAACGAAACTCGACCAGAATTGATAGAGATTTGAACGTAAAGTGTTAATGGTGTATAAAATAAGACCGTATCATTTTTTTACTACTACTCCTTTAAAGTAGTCTTAATTTACTTGACATTGGATTTCATAACTTAAACTTGTATCAAGTAAAAATTATGGTACCAATGAAATCTGCTCATTATTGGATTTACAGATTGTAATGAAATGTTTCACTTTCATTGAAGTGAAGAGCCGATAAGAACGAAATTTCTTATCAATTGTTTACGTGAACCTGTTACTAGTAAATAAAATACAGTTTCTCATATCTCTAAGAGATTTTTTATTATTCATATATCTTCATGTCAGCTACAAGCTCAAATACCAATAAGTAGAGATGTTATGGTTTCAGTAAAATGATGAAATGCTTTCCTGAAATCAGTTATTTTTACTCACCTATCATGCAACCGATATTCTTATCACAAACATCCCTTAATCCATTTCACCTCTCCCAGTCAATGCTAATGCTTAAACAAGTAATTATATATATATATATATAGACTACATTTGATGAATGGTGATCTATTGTACATTATAATTTAACTACATTCAGTAATATTAGGCTTCATGTTATAGGAGGACCCTAAACATTTTTATACAGCTTGTATATTCAAGCTTACTGATCTTGTCATGATCACCAAGGATAAATCTCTTTTTGAATAAGCGGGCACACTGAGTTCATTGAAAGCTACAAATAAATTACTTATGTTGTATTTTTATGATACTAACTTTTGGAACTCTCTCATCTTTATGTTTCTACTGAACTGAACATATTTCTTTCGTATCGTGTAGTTGTCCATTTAGTTTGAAAATCCCTTCAACATTTAAAATCCCAATTTGTGTGGCTGTGAGGTATTTAAAGATAAATAACTTACACTGGTAATTGGTAATCCTGTTATTATACATTTATTTGAAATCGGGACTCCATCTTGTTGATGTGAATCAAACAAGTAAACTGAATTCACTGTGGGTTTTTTCTGTAAAATATCGGTTGGTATTAAGTCACTGTAATTTCTATATGATATAGTATTGAGTTTTGGCAGACGTTTACTAGAACTTCCACTATCTGTATTACAATTAATATATGAAGCTGTAGGTAAAGTGGTATGAGTAACCAATTTCGGTGATTCACATGATTTAGAATTAGTAGATTTATTTACGAGAGTGGAACAACAGCAACAATATTCATAATAACACGAATCTGAATTGTTTGGTGTGAAACACAAATATTTAATAGGAAGATAGATAGAAATGCAAGCAATAGACCAGATACTATTAGATCCAATAGTTCAGCTAGGTAAAGAAAAGTTGGATAATATGAATAGAGATCTGAGTCTAAAAAGTTAAAATTAATATGTCAAAGGATATAAAAAATAAAAATAAAAAAATGAGTAGTGAAATGGCGAGTCATTTATTTTATGATATTTATTTTCAGACGAATTAAGCAATCGTTAATGGAACGAACAATAAACCGTTTTCCATTACAATAATGTTAATCACTTTCTCTTCAGTAAAAAGCAGTCCAAACCGATCCTTGAGATGTTGAAAATAAGGTATACCGAACGGAAGTATTCATCTTTTTCAACAGTTTGGAAAATTGGCTATAATTTATTTTTAATGTTCTGTAATTAAAAAAAGTGAATATATGAAAATACTTCTTAAACCAGGTCACAGCAGGTTCTTCCAATTTTCTAATATTTCCACTTTTTTCTACATTTAGAGTCCCTTATACCAAAAAGTTACAGAAAACGTGCGTCATGTATCTGATTTCCAAAAAAACCATAACATTTTAACGGTGATAAGTGCATAACTACTTTTGTCATACTGACATTACAAAATGACATTACTATTTTATAAATATGGTCTACATGATTAATTGCCATCAGTTGAACAATTGTTTTGGTGCTCCTTAGTTTCGCTATTCAAGCTAATTAAAAGAGAATGCAAATGAACTCGGTATATCTTAGATTGGCTAATAAATGGGTATATGAAAAAGTTTTCATGATTTTACCCTAAATAAGACTTCCGTTTAAATGTAATTTGAACTACCTATTAATCCACTTCGAAGAACAGGAATATATTTTGGTTCAACGTTTTTCAGATTGACTCGATTATTCCTGTTCAGTAAAATAGGTTATATATATGCCAATCGTAAGCAGAAAAGATAAATAATAGATTTTAAATTCACGTATTACTTGTGAAGTGAAGACAGAAATAGATTATAATCCCTAACCAAGTTATTTAATTTAATAAAGTTAATTTTAGAAACAGTCACTGAATGATTGAAGAAGCAATACGAGTATATAATCGTATCAACACACATGTGCACATATGCAAACAGAGACACACAGTCACATAGACATAAAAATGGAAACAAATAATATTGAACGGTCCAAATAGAAATGAGTATCAAGACAATAAATGATAAATGAAATGAAGAAATACAAATAATAATCACACTTACCGATTGGACTATAAATTGCCTGTACTGATTCCAAACGTATAAGACGATTTTTATCCCTTGTCAGCTGTATTGTAACACTGACTAATCTATTGTTCGTTTATTTTTAATTATTGTTAATTAATTATTCATTCATATAATTTGTAGTTGATTTTTGCGAATAACATTGTTGAATTATATAGTAATTAATTTTTTTCATTTATTAGTAATCGGAGTAAATACAGATTTATATATATTTATATACACGCACACAATTTGTCCGAATATATGAATTGAACACAGTACAATATAAAAAAGAAGAGATCACCAAAAGTAAAATGTGAAAAGTAACATTAAGTAATAGAAAGTGTGAGGGGGCAATTGATTTTGATCAGAAATAAATTTTCACTCTAATCAAAGATATATAGCCGAATATAAAAATAAAAGAAAATTAATAATGATAATAGTAATCTCTATTGCCCCAGATGCGTTCATTAAAGACTTTTGTTTTTAATTTTTCTACGATTTATATTGTTGTATATATCATCTTAACGAAGGGGGAACATGACCAGTATAAACAAAAAGTAGATAATAACGTCTAGAGAATGATATACTTACATAACTTAAGAACTGCTTATGTTGAACTACGAAACCTTAATAAAAAAACACTTGGAATGAAAAGTTATCACAAGTAACGTAAAAATAAAAGGTGAATGAAAATGGTTAGAAGTAATATTAAAGAAGTATTGTATAGATATTTGTTAGCTATATGGACTTTCAATGTTGTTATAATTTATATTGTTGTAGAGCGTAAAATATTCACAATAAAACTATCTACTACCATTATATTAGCTTTATAGTTAAATATTTAATAATTACTTCCTAAAATCTGCATCTATTTACAGTATACTTGCATTGCATTTTCGAACGATGCCTAGAGCTTATCTTCTGCCTAAACAAGTATTTTAAGTGGTAATTTTCAATACTGATGGTGATTTTCTAAAGATCGTTTATTTTTAACGTTGATGCCGAATGGTCTATTTTTCTTGGATTCTAGCCAAAGATAAGATGGTTATACAATTCTAGAAAATCTTTAACGAGAACTAAACATCTGTCCAATACTGTATGACTTCTTGTAGTTCATTACATTTACTCACAACCCGTTGAAAATCAACTACGTATTTTCTCGTCCTGGCTTCCAAAACTGATCACTATAGGGTTAGCGTTCTATATGTATAATTGCTTTAGTAATCTATCACGGGGAAGGAATGACTGAAAAGATTTAAACTAATGATCATCCCACTAGAGTAATCGTTTATTTATCCGTATTTCTTAAAGTTGTTATTCATATGTTTATTGTAAGCTCATTAATAATAGATATATTCTCATACATGATTTTATCACAAAGAAGTTGCATATTTTTTATTGTCTTGACACCACGAAGAAATAGTCATATTTATCACCCATATGAAGTAAATATGGACATTATTAATTAGGTAAGAGTTAGCTGACTTGAATAGACTACCCAATTTTTACCTCTGATTCTCCCTAAACAGTGAGTCTGATTAATTTAAACTATCCCTAATGTGTAAACACTTAAATTATTACGAATACTCTCAGTCACTTTGATATAAAGAAATTTGGATCCATGCGAGAAATGTCTCAAAAGAACCAAGATATACGTTATACTTTTCTTTTCGGTGTAATGATTTCCCCCAATTAGTGTTTATTTTATTGAAGTTAGAAATGAATGAATACTTTTGACCAAACTTTAAACATTCATGGCTTTTCAAACTCCAATGTCTTTCTCTAAAGTTTTACAGCAATCGGCTAGTCGTTTTCTCCAAACTGATTTCTAATATTTTACTCCTCACAGACTGAAACAATATATTTTTGTATTACCCATATATGTTTGTGCTCACTTCATTTTATTGTGTATGAGCATAGATTGACAATCTCTGCTACTCAGAAGTTAAACCCATTAAATCTTTTCCTTGTTCTTAGTGTTTTGAATATCCATAATGCAAAAGCTACTATTTCATACCACTCCTGTATCTATCCATCAAAAGAGCTTTTCCTTTGGGGCACAATACACTAACCGTATCTCAATTCCGTTTTTAGAATCCACCTCTGAAGTTATCAATAAATGATTGCATAAGGTAAATTATTTTAATGCTTTTGTACATTTGATGAATTTACAAAACATCTTTTTTTAATTTTGCTAGTTCAATCAAACAATGTGAGGAATATTTATTATATATGTATTAAAATTAAGAAAGCCATAATAGTTCATAACTCAAATTTTATATCCAAACAGGACTTATTTAACTCATTTAACTGCAATAATGTTAATTACAATTTGCTTAAACTTTTAAAATTTCTTTTTCTCTAGTATAATTCTGATTCTTGTCACATCACATTCTTGTTTTCATTTTATTTCCGTATCACATTATATTATTTCACTTTTGTTACATTACACAGTTTGGTAACTTAAATTCATATGATCTATTAATTACAAACTTCTTCATATGATGATTAATAAAATAATGCAATTATAGAGGTGTCATCTTTTGAAAATAATTTTTTATGAATGTTGCTACTATTCTGCTTGTTGTTATTTTTGAGGAAATGCAATTATTATACACGAGTGAGCATTTTGAGAAAAATCATTTAAAATAAATGTATATAGATGTAAAAAGTTAATGGAATCAGTAGATTATAAAGACTGTATATTTGCTTAACGTAACAACATATAAACAAGTTGAATCAGATCTGTAATTCTCCAGTCTGTATTGTAATATATGTATCTTGAACGGATGAACACAATAGTACCATTTAGCCACAAATGTTTACTAAATTTGAGTAATGCTTTGAAGTAGAATTCAAGACTATACTTTTTTCCTATTTCGCATTTGAAGATAAACTTAATAGATTCAAATCATAGTATAAACATCCACAATGTAATGGAGCGATATCTAGTTGATAATGTTTATATCGAACAAAATGCATATTCTGAATCTTACTACTAGCCACTAACAAATCTAAATAAAAATGTGAATTGATATTACTTCTCACTCCACTGTAAAAACGGGACTTTTTAATTCATTATAAACTAAGCATCATATAAAAACCTATTAGTAACATTTTTAAATAGAGATTATTTACTGTTATTTTTGTTTCAATCGAACAAGTTAAATGTATGTAACGGGAGGGGGGCGGAAAAAGTTTTTTTTTTCACATTCTGCACTCATTACATATGAATTGACTTTATTTTGGGGTTTCTCATTGGTTGCTTACAACTGTATTCATTGTAGAGCGTAACAGTGAGATATGACAGTATGGAGTAATCGACGATGATGACGAAAAGAATTAGAGCAACAAAGATTAACAGTGACCAAACACGTGGATTTTCTTTGGTTTGCTGAAGCAGTAACAGATGAAAAACAAGACCAGATTTATATGTCCAGAAAGGCACAGAAATCAGTTGTTATAACCTTGGTAAATTCGCAATTTTGAATATCACCTAAACTTATTGCTATTATTTTATAATTTTGTGTCTATTTACCCATACGATCCTCACTTAAGTGGCTGTTAATTCATGTACGCTAGAGCCATCCTTTCACTTATCTGTATTTTCACTCAGTCACTTATCCAAATCTCATGTAAATGTTACGCAAAACACATTATCAATTTCGAATTCTAAATAATTAGAACTGTATCATTTTGTCCTTTATATATATTTTCAAGTGCCTTAAAACCACTTTAAGCTTCTCAAGTCTTCTACGAATACCAAACACACTCCATGTAATTACTACCTAACCTCCTATCATTCTTAAATTCGATATTATAATGACCTCACATCTACTGATTACTCCACATTGTCGTATCTCACTGTTGCACTCTACAATGAATAAAGTTGTAAACAACCAAGGAGAAACCCCGAAATAAAGTGAATTCATATTATTCTGCCTCCAGTGTTGTTTTGGTCCTAATAAAATTAACAAAGGAAACCAATGTATGATTTAAGCAATAGTTTTACGTTACAAAAATAAGGCGATATTTATATTTGTCAACTAAGCCAACTGGAATACTTATATGATCAAATTGAAGAGCTTTAGAGATTTTTAGTTTAGAAACTAATCCCAGAAATAAAGATGGTTTATTATTGTTACTATATATTAATGTTTATTTACTACCTGAATCAAAGTGTGTAACTTACTACCAAACTATTCGTTAAAAGTCATTATTATTATCAATTCTTTCATACTTTAATAAGTTTAACTTTTAAATTTCAGTTCACTAACAAAATGTTGAAAACATCACAAATGATAAATAAATGAATACAAACAATTTACTCACCCTTCTTCGGTGCTAGATTTTATCATCCGTGTATGAAAAACAAAATAAGAAGGGATGAAAACAAAATGTATGATTTAGTTAAATAACATAAAAATGGAGGAAATATATAAAAGTGGGTAAATACAGTTGAATTTTCAGAAAAGAAAACACTTGGCAACATTATTTTAGAAAAAGTCTTCAAAACAAAAGCAACTTGGTCAGGCATTTAGAAATATAACAATTAACAATTTAATTCTAAATAGGAACACACAAACTGTCAATATGCTATTAAAAGTATTTTCTTTAAAAACAAAGTCCATTAGATATGAATAAACTTTTTGAAATAATACTCGTTTAATTTGTGAATTTGCTGTTTTGTATGCAAAACAAACCATAGTTTAATATATAATCAAATTATGAATACATGACATTTTTGTGTACATCCATTATTGTGTACAACTGAAAATACTCGCCAAAGTCATCAGCTTCATTAAACACCCAATGAAAGTACAAATTAAAATTGACAAACAAGTACTTTAGAATGTAATTTAATCCCATCATTTATGAGGACGAAATTGGAAGTTTGTTTACGTAATTTAAAAGATGTCTAATAAATCATTTTACAAATCTTTTGTAGTCTATCTCAATACATTTAGTTAATAACCAAAAAAGTGTCGTTTATAGAAAGTATAAGGTGACTTACATCAAAACAAATGAGTTCAGATTATTATAAAGAGGCTAGACATCACTAATTATTTAATGAAATGAATTTTTCGGATATCGTTACACATAATAGTTAAGCAATCACATGTTTGATACACTGGTTTAAACTTCAAAAAATGTTACCAATTCCTTCGCTTCTGAAAGCATATTTTGTCACTTTGCTTAATAATAAAATTATCACAATACAAATATGACTACACATCAACAACCTTTCTTGAAATGACCATCTCAAAAAACAAATAATTTTTATGGTTACTTACCTGATCAAGCTATCTGGTTTAGTGTTTAAACTAGCCCGCTTAATTGGGACAGTTTCAATTAATTCACGGTTATCCAAAACTAATTTAGAAAACACCGTTCTTAATTGTTTGAACTGCGAATCGGTAGCTAGAAGAACAGCTTGAAGACTGGCTATATCTTCACTGGCAACAATTAACTGTGATTGTTCTAGCTGATTTTCCCAACTAGTATCGTTGTATATTAATTTATTGTTAGTTTGCTTGCACTGATTTGTTTTACGTTGTAAATCAAGCATTGTCACATCAGAAAACAGGTCGTTGTGTAATAATTGATTAGCGAGACGATCCAACTCATCAACGACGTTTAAAAAAAACAGACGAACAAGATGAATGTGAAAATCTAGTCCTGGGACTAATGTTATATCTCGAAACAAAATGCTTTGTCTAAAAAGGCGGACAAATTCCTTTCCTAAACGGCTAACCCTTTCTAGCATACGAGAATGTTCTTCACTATCCATACATAATCCGTTAGATTGATCTGAAGTATGTTTATTTGTTGATAGACGTTCGCTATCCCAAAGCATTAGGTCAGTAGCTTCTAAATTGAATCTATGTTTTCTATGAACTTTATAAACTGTACGTTCTACTGTCTGTAAATCCAAATTTAAACTTTGTAAAAGACGAGAAAGTTGTCTTAACTGTTCAAATGCTGTACGATTAGCTTCGCGTAGAAATGCCCATGTTTGAAGGAGTAAGCCATTCTGAAATAAAACGTGTATTCGAAAGAACACTAGGTATTGATCTAATGATAAATATATAATGTAGTTCAACAAAAATACATGTATACACTATTCTTTGAATTTAAATAAAATTAACTATAATAATAACACACATTTTTAGAGAAAGTTATCTTATGCTCGGCAGTCAACCGACAATCTTGGATTCGACTTTAGCGTGCAGTGTCGTGGGTGAGCAATGCTGAAGAGTTCTTTGCCAAGACGAAACGGTGGCCCAGTGCCTCCAGGTTTCCGACAGTTTTCTGACTGATACTATACCCTGGTTTCAATGACATTCCCTCCTCCTTAGCTGTGTTTAAAAAGCTGCACTGATTTAAACTCCATGCTAAGTTGGTATGTGTTTTATAAATTCTTTGATCAGAATCTAAAAATCATATGTTAGGTAGTTGAAGATAATAGACTAGAGATTCTAGCTGGCTTATTCCAGTGTAAAATATGTGTATGTGCTATGTTCACTTAGTCTCAGAACGGAACGAAGACTGTTACACAATAACAGATAAGTTAGCTATCAGACATTACATGCCATATATGGTGAAATGGGAAACAAGATGAGAGATATATGGCCACTAATATGACGATTGTTTTGGCTTCCTTAACACTCCATGTACTACAATAACGCTGTAATTGTTTTTTGAAAACATTTTCACGAAGAATTCATTTAGTTTAAAGTAGATGGCTTTTCATAAAGTAGGTAAAATGCTGCAGTCCCTTTCTAGTTGCAACATTAACAACACTCAAGAGCATTAAAAGTTGAATTGATGAGTCGACCTAAGTTAGACCACCATTAGAAACCTGGAATTACTGGACGGCCGTCTGGTCCTGGTATGGGACTTCTCGGAAGTACACATCCATGATCTCTCACGCAAACCTTGAATCCTGGACCTTCGATCTCGCACGTGAACGCTTATGACACGAAATATTCAGAATTATTTACCAGCTTTTATGAGTATTTAGTTCTTTAGTTAAAACAATTAAAAAGGAGAATAATGAACACATAAACTATTTCAGTTCAATGTACAAAAGCGTTTATTGCTCCGTGTTGACGGTTTAACGACTTATTAGGAAGTAAAATAGTAGTAATATTTTGAAATATCGTTTGTAAAGAAACAAATCATCACGGATATTCTTTTTTGTCCTTACGATGATAGTCTATTATTTCAAGACTGCTGAACAAAAATAGTTTTCAAACACTTTCATTCAGAAATATTTATTAAACAAATTCTTAAATCCTGTAGTTTATGGATAAAAGTTACTGTTATTGATCAAACAGTTATATACAGGTATTTTTTAGAGATGCACGCACCTGTTATAATCACCATTTTGTTTTATTTCCCACCATAAATTTACTTTTATGATTGAAATGTTATCAACATAAAACGTACAATGTAACATTAATGGTACAATTCACCGAATTCCTAAAGGAGAGCCACTAAACCTCTAAGTAAGCATCATTCAAACGGAAGGGATGGTTGCTTATTAATTTTTATCTGTGTGTTAATCCAAATAAAATTGTGGTTTAATTATCAAAAGTAAGACAAAATGTTTTTAGAAATCAGTACATAAAAATTTTGAAAAGTAACATAGTGGTTAATTAACTTCATAAATTATTGTAAAAACTATTATTCTGACCATCCACAGAACTCGCTTACACACAATGGCTAAGAACATTTAAACAATAAAAAACCTATAATATATCGTATTTACTGAATTTATTTTTATCTTCATGAATTCAACTTGTAGATAAGCATTAAAAGTCAAATCAATCCCTTTCAAAAACAATGCACTGAATGAAATTAGGATTAAAAATTAGCTACAAGTAGTTATGACCAGGTGTAGTCTTAGTCTAAAGATTTCCTATTTCTTAACATTAGTTGCTAAACCTGTGCAGTATTTTTCTCGAGCTGTCAATATGTTAAAATGTAATGATTTTAAATCCTAGTTGATGTGGATAAATATCAATATAATAGTACTGGAAGACAATAACAAACTTTATTTTCTATCGCTTACTCTATAAAAAATAATTAAAACAATAATATGATGAGAATTTTTCAGCGATAAAAATGATTAGATAAAGTAATTTCTAATACAAAACAGTAACTTACCCAAATCTCTTTTCTGTAAATATGCAGAAATTGTTCCGATTGATTTATATTCAGTTCTTTAGAGTTTCTATGATTATTGTTATTAGGATCATAATCACTAATGTCATCAGAAACAGTTGTCAGTTTTTGGTTTTTCGATATAATTTTGTTATTAAATTGTTGTTGATCAGTAAATAGTTGAAAATTATTGTTTGATTGAAAGTTGGTTTGATTTATTTTAGTAAATAGACTTAGAGAATGTGTAAATAATAATGGGGATTTTAATGCTTGGGTTATGGATTCCACTGAATAAGATATTGCTTCACAGGGATTATGACATCGACATTGAACTGGTGATAGAGATTCTATGGTGTGATGATAATGGCAGTTGTGTTAAAAGAAATGAAAGAAATAATTAAAAAAAGATTAATGCAGTATGTCAACTAAATATAGTATAATTTCAAATAAAGTTTCATGTGATTGTTCGAAAAAACATTTCATAGAACATTGAGTTTAAACAGGAATCCTTAAGTTCTTATGTGGTATTTTTCAATAACCTGGATAATTTTTCATTACACAAAACAATGCGTAAGACATTACTAGGTTAGATGCAAGAAAATATATGTAACACAGGCAGAATCAGATAAATAATAAACACAAAACACAAGAATAGAGAGAAGGACTTATTTAAAGTCGCTTTGTCTCTGCCCATCACATTAAAAACCCAGGTTCAAGAAATGTTTAATTTATAAAATTAAATAAGTTTGATTTACACATACAGTGGAGAAGTAAATCAAAGTAGCTATTCGAAGGTTAAGATAAAGTAAATACTAAGTGAAAACTCATAGAAGTAAGCATACAAGCTTGGTTACATTAAAGACTATATGATCAAGTATTTACAGGAAACAGCAGTGCAGCGAATAGTTAAATCCTCATTTATTGAAATTATAGGATAAGCCAGTTAATACATTACTTAAGATATTAATCCAGTACTTACATATAGGTTAAAGCGTACCATTAGTGATCATATTAATTCGTGTTTGTTGAGTAGTTTCTACTCACCCGAGCACATATGCAAAGCAATAATTATAAAATTTACTTGTGACTGTTTCAGCAGGCACCAAAACGGATTCAAAAGTACATGAATTATGGTCTGATATCGCATGACATGTTATTAAAATCTCAATAATGTTGTTGCAAATCAACTATCTCATTACATGTACTGTCTACTAATCAGTCTAAACCCAGAATAACTGACAGTCTGTTACATGATAAAAAGCCTAAATTGGAGCAAGTTTTATTGACTGGGCTTGGCGTTTTTTCTGAACTTGGTTATTACTTCCTTTCATTATATTAGAGCTGACAAGCGGATGCATGTGGAATACCTAGCAATGACAGCAGAAAGAGCCATAAGAAAAGGAATATATGAAAACCAAATGATACAATCGAGAAACTAGCAGGAAAATGTAGCAAACCAGAGCAACCAATCGAAATCAAAGAATATAAACCAAACACTGGGATTAAAGAACAACAGAATAGGTGGTTAAAACACTTTGAAAAACTCTTAAATAGATCAGCCTCACGCACCCACCGGATATCAAAGCAGCAACACAGACCTTCCTCTGAAGAAGTAGCTTACACTGAGTCACGAAACGTCAGAAAGTCTAATTTTTCTACTCACTGGGATATTGCAAATACATTGTTTTTGTTTAGAACAATCTACCCAATACTCAGTTTATTTGAAATTATCAAACTGAACCTTGGTAATGATACCTATAATCTAAATTCCGTTTATGTGTATATTATTTATAGGTATTTGACTCTACTGGGTCTAGTTCTACATTTTACATGATTAGTGCACTGGTTCGAATAAAGCTTTCTAGAACTTTACGTCACTGTTATAACTTTCAGATTCAACTAATCCACAGATTATGATCAAATAAACTGTTTTCATATGTGTTCAAACTTTAGTGAATTCCCCTTCGGTAAAAGTCGATAGTGATCTAATAAATTAACAACCGAGTAACTTTCTTCCAAAATTTCCATCTAAATTAGTTTAAATATTTTTTATTGAATGAATATATACTGTGTCCATACTCTCAAAAAGGTATAGATTCAAATGAATAGTCATCAGTATCAAAAAATGTTTTGAATACATCCAATGAATTTAAACTAAAATGGTAGCAATAAAACAGCTTTTGGATTATTCTCTCGAAATGTTTTGCAACTTTAGTGAGTAAAACAATGACCATTGTGTTAAAGATGAGTGGTTGTTGAAATGAGCAAATTTAGGTCATGATTACTCAGATAAGTTATTTAAGCTCATTAATACACAAAGTTATCAACATTCAAGTTAGATTTCTGTAACTTTTAACTTTAATAAACAAATTTGACAAATCCTTATATCCTTGCAACACATTACAAATTACGAATTAAAATCCAGTAGCCCTTTTTACAAAATAATAAAATGGCAAATAATTCTGAATAATGTTTTCATTCTCAGTATAATTATCGACAAATAAAAAGACTCAAAATAGATGCTTCTAGATGAAAATATAATGTACATACAATAATTCTTGAATATAAGAATGTATAGGTACATCATTCATTATTCATATGTAAATATATTTTTCCATAGTCGCAATCATCTGGTAGGTAAATTTAGCCGAAATATATCGATCTCTTGGTTTAGATTGCCTTACAAAAATATTTATATATAAATTCAAACTATGATTGGTAGCTTTCTATATCAGAAGTTCAAGGGACACTAATTAAACATATTATGGAAGAAGCAACTCAAACAGTTGTTAAGTTTAATGATTATTCTCAGACAATGCAGTTATGTTAGCTGATGAGTATAACATGTTCAAACTTATCTCTATATCCTTAGACTCCGTATGTGAAACCTTCCGATTATTGAAGAAACTATCATTTCTTTATGACTTCTACTGTTTTCACGTTTGATTTTTTCAGTCATTGAGACATAAGAGCTTTATATAATGCGAAACCATTTCTGCTTAAAATATTTATGCCTAATCTCAACGTTAGCCGCATTCTACATAATAATGAAAAGTAGTTTAAATTATCAAAAAATACATGGACCTAAAAATAACTTATAGCTTTTTATTATAATCTAGTAATGATCAAACGTTTTGACTATCATTTGTTATATTTAACATTAAAAGATAAACAGATTCGCTAACATTGTTATATTTCTTATTACAGACTGAAGAAGCAATTAGAGTTGATAAATACAAAGTTAATTACTGCTCGATTCTCAAATAAACACATAAATAAAGTCAAATGAAATTCAGTAAATTTTTACGCAACTTATTCATAGATCTCTCTCCGAATTCAATATTGAAAGTCCATATTGATCCACTGTTGAACGATAAATAAATATAAGGTACTAGGTTCAATTGTTTTTAAAATCGTGCTGCACAAGGTTTTAGCAGCTTAGCCTGTGATATTTTCAGACTTCATACCTGAATATAAAAACAACTATTTATCGTAACTTTCTAACGCTTCTAAGACTGAATATTATTTCTTGAAGTCATTAACTTCGTTCCTCAATATAAAAAACATAAAACTACCTCGTCAAAGTTATCAGTCTTGAAAAAAAAGCCAATTGTCATATTAAGAAAATAGACATTTTGATTCTTGGAAAGCCAATTTAACGCTTACAGTTTAATAACTAAAGGTTAGTTAGGTACTCATTTTAATCATATTAGTGTCCACATTAAAAAAAAACAAGTTTTAACACAAACAAACGAGAACATAAATTCATTTGATATTGTTGGTTTTAATCTTGCCATTGATGTTTAGGACTGAAATTGATCAGTCTCTTATTGGTATATGTGCATCCAATGCGGATTACCTCGATACTGCCTTAATTCACAAGCATAATAAGCAAAGGTTACATAAATAAATGGGCCGACCAGCATGAATAAGTTGAAATGAAAACATATGTAGTTAACAGCAATTTACGGATAAACGTGAAATCGTTTTCACTTATTATGGATTACCAAAATAAAATGCTGCAGTGTGCTTAAAGATAGAAAAAGATGTATTCTCGGTGAAGATAAAATGAAAACCAGACAAAAGGATTGATTAACTGGCTTCATCATAAAAACAGAGCGTCTGTAGTTCGTAAGATATGACTCATTGCATTTCACGTAGCACTTATAGGACTGTCAATTTCACTAAAATAAGAATGAAATGCAATAGACACCTACATTTTTAACAGACCTTAAATTACACCTTTTTATTTCAACTGTAATTACCACTTATTCTGTTAAGTTATTCACTGTTAAATTACTGTTTCGACATGTACTATTGAAGCCCTTTAAAGCTTCCAAACATAAAAGAAATCTTAAAAAATCATAAAACCGTGTAAAATTTATAAATGTAGAAATAATTGACTCACCGATCATTGAATTCATAGTTAATCCACATCTCATCATTTCAAAAACAGTACAATCTGTAAGACAACAAGGAATTATCCACTACTACAATAACGAAATAAATAATTTTTCAAGAACTTTTTCGAGGACAAATTATGATTTCTTGGCACAACAAAATGTTTATAATAATAGTTTAACAATGGTAATTCACTATAAATAATCCCAATAATAACAAAATATTATGTCTTGTTTAGAGGATAACAATTTTCTATATCCAAACATTTGATTTAAAGCCGTATTAAGAATATAAGGTATAGAAAAATTTGTTGGCATTTAAATAATTCCAAATTGAATTTAATAACATTGAGAGAAGCTACTCAATGACGAATTACTAGTTGATTGCTTTCATACAAAAATTTGTAAAATACCAATTATCCACGATATTTCTTATTTCTTATGTAATATTTTATTAAATCTCTTGTTTATTTTCATACAAACATAGACTTTCTTCACTGTTTATAAACTGTACACTCAACTGTTTTTTTCTGATAAAATACCGAGATGTAAACAAATCTACTAATAACCAATGAACTTAGCGCACAAATGGTTGTGACTGTCAATGTGTAAACTGTGGTTTAAGAGAATGAAAGTTATATAAACCTATAAATAGAAGTCGGAGTTCATTTACAATAAAATACGTAGTTGGTTATCACAAAAAATCAAGATACAGTCGAATAAAAGTATTTGTCAAGGAAATATTTTAACAGTATGTTAATTAAACTGGAGTACATATTTATTTTCTATTCTGGACACAAAACAGATACACTGTTAATCTTTAACGAAAACAAAATTAATAGGTTACAAAGTGGAAAAATCTCGAGAAACATTGCCAAACATTTGAACTTTTTTAACACAGAGAGAGAAGCAGGTGATGAATGGAACAATGTACAGACAAGAAATACAAAGGAGAAAACAAGAATTAACAGAATGATAGATCAATATTTATTATCGATTAAATGACATAAAATCACTCATCTTAAGTGGAGGACTCACAAGTGTAGGAAAAGTAGGAAAAATTCACTAAAAATGACATTTGAAACATTCATATTCTGTTGTATTTCATAGTTAATATTTTCTATTTGATAAATTAAACTTGTGACTAAAGCATTTATAGAATGTTGCATATGTTGTAATTTTTGCAAAATGTACTTAAATTATATGACAAGTGTTCTCAGATGTCAGATACACCATCTGCTTTCCAGTCATTATCGTATGAGAATAATATTTCAAAGATAGATCTAAGTGATCAAAAATATCCCGTCTCTTTACATTTATCAGACCTGAAGGTTTCATCATAGTTACATACATGTTTCTTACTTCTATGACCACTCACGTTGAAAAGTTACTTTAAAAGTTCAAATGATTAGACTTAGGATGTCCGTCTAAATTTATTTATTAAAGTAAGTCGGTACTAAACTGCATACGAACGTCCACAACCGATTCGTATAACAGATTAAAATAAAGATTAATTTAATATTACTCAATTACAGAACCTGATTAACTGAAAATCTGTGACATAATAAAAACATTTATCTATACTGTGGATATCCGGTTTGATTTCTCATCAACTTTCATTATTCATCTAGCCATTTACTGAAAGTTAAACCAACTTCAGTAAGCAGTGCTATGTCTTTATCTACTAATTTGTTGAATTTTTCTTCTAAATTATGCCAAATTGTCAACATTTATGGTGTTATATTTATAGGTCTTCACAGAAATCTTGGAATCTCGTGACAGTTTACTGCCATATTTTGCTTTCAAACATATACAAGTTCTATATGAATGTTTACGTGTTCAGGATTACTTACATGTTGGTACAATTATTATGAGTGATTTTTTGTTGCATTTCACATAATACTGGATCGAGTTACATTAAAACACATACCTTTAGTAAAACTAACCTAACAGAACATCACTTAAATACAGCAGCATATAGTTTACTAAACGTTTTACAAAATATGGTGAAAATAAAACTTAAGACATTGGAATTTGACTGAAGAAAAATGAATAACTATCAAAATGAATCAGTAATTTTTCTAATTAGAAGTCGGTAATAATAATGCAAAAGTTCATAGTTTTTCACAGTTTTAACTATATTAACTGAGAACGTTTTGTAATGTATCTGTTTAAAGTAATTATGTATAATCATTTTTCATTCAATATAGGAAATAAGAATATTTTAAAAAAATATGCTCTAGTCAGTCATTATTAAATTACATTACAATAATATGACATGTCTAATAATTTAAGATAAATGAAATAAAAATAATTATGCAACACCTATACATAAAATGCATAAGTGGTTTCCCCATAAGTATATGTTTTTGGTAAGTTCAGTTAGATCAAATTTAGAAATATAGCACCATTCATGAACTGGATTTCTTGTTCTTGTTTTAATTATGAAACATAAAAATATTTTAGGGTATTTATACGTGGTTAGTGGCATTCAATTTAGTCTACAATCAAAAGTGTTAAATTTCGTAACATTTTGTAAATAATAATCCTGTGACTCGAGAATTCAGTAATCTGATATATAAATATTGAGCTTCTGATTCGAATATTATCACACTATTTCAATGAAATATAGCTTTAATGCAATTGCAGTGACAGAAGCTCATTTATTCTTTATTTTCTTCTAACTTGTAAGTTCCAAAACTATTGCCAAAAGAAGTTCTATTAGCTAATTTCATTTGTTTTTATCTACCAATATATTGTTTAATTAGCCACAACTACTAATATTCCAATTTGAGCCCCTAACTCCTTGTTTGTTTTTATCTTGGACTTTGTGATGGTACAACGTATAACTGAATGCGTGCATAGCAAATCCCATGGTTCAAACGACTGCCCTTCGTTATTTACTGAAATTGTACATCAAAGAACAAGTATGCTTCATATCAATTGAATAAAACCATTTGGGGTTGCATTATTGAATTCTACTTAGTTTTGAAGCTATGGATTTGTTACTGATTGATACAATGTCTACATACCAGAAATCCGAAAACTTGACTTTAAGATTTACAAATAATTACTAGTTTTTCATAAGGCATTATAATTGATTTTAATTTAAAATTAAGATTGTTATGACCATTACTATTATTATTATTATTGTGACTGCCGTTAATAAACAATGAAATTCAATCAAACAAAAAGCAAAAAAAAACATGAAAAGCGAAAATCTAACCTGGCAATTGACAATGACATTTTTCTAATAACATTTCTTGCATGCAATCATGCATACAGCTAGCCCAGATTGATTGACTTGTACAATGTTGTTTATAAATCTATAATACAAAAAATCAGACTTGAAAATGAAGAAACAAGTTATCTGGAAATATATTTTAAAAAATAAACCACACACAGATGATGCAACAAGGTGTAAGAGAAATTCTGAAAAGTACTAAGCAGAAATTTTCAAAATTCCAATACAAAAAATCTCTACAATCGTTTGCTAAGCTAATACTAAAAGCTTTTGTTCTGAAACTTCTTGAAAGGACTAGAACAGAAAATAAAGGGACAATTAGAAAGACTAAACATGAGCATCATTTTTACTTGTAAGTTTTAGGATGAAAAACCATTTCAAAACATTTGAATTTCAAATTTTTCTTAACCTCATGATTTTCAACTTCTTTTCACAGAATGTTATATAATTAACAATCTTAATCCATATACTACATATGCTGAAATTCATAAATTTTTTAATTGTATTGACAAGCGGAAATGAGGAAAAAGTTATACGACATTAAAAGTAGGTAATATTACAATTAATATCATTGCCATTACTTTGGTTTTTACTTTTTTCTTTACATCTATTTACACTAGAATTAATTTCAGAAGGGGGACTTTGTTTACATGATTTAACGTCGGTCTTTTTATTATTACTCTCATTATTATTGGCCATAGTTGTATTAATTCACTATGATTTACAGTATGTAGCTAACAATAATAATATTTTTTTCAACATAATAGAAACATATCATAGAATGTTTTGAATGATTTTAATTAAACCTTAAGAAAAAAATAATAAATCAAGAGAAACTACTCATTCTTGTTTTGCCCTAAAAGAACAAGCAAAATTACAATTAATTTACTCTAATTCATCCATTTAAAGAAATTATATATATATATATATATATATATATATATATATATATAAGGAGAGAAAGGTTTACTATGATTAACCTATAAGCACTCTATTAACTTTACAATGTGTATATCCATAATTGTATAATGTAGTAAAACTTAAAATTAAAAAACAAGAAGGTTAAAAAACGTTCATAGAAATTGATATGAATGAACCGGAATTTAATTTCAATAGAATGTCAAAAGAATATTAGTGATTTTTAATTTATTTTTATTAAAAAATCAGTCAACTTTACTAGAGAAATACATAGATTATATTCTCCTACATCTCTTTGCTCTTTTCTTATAAAACCTAGTGTTGATGTAAGATTTAATGTTTACCTACATTTTTTTACTACTAGTAAGTATGTGTTTACTTTCTGTATCTTACTGTAGTAATCTAGTGATATTTTTTCTCTGGTTTTATCCCATGTACAGGAAATCAGCTTATGTCTAATAGATTTCTACCAGATGTATAGATAGATATAGGAGAATCATAGTAGGCTTGTACAATATTGTATACACATAAACATATATTATGGTCAAAGAAATATGAATCCGGGTATATACCTCTACCTTTTGTTGCATCCTGACGATATAAAGACAAGAAACAGATGCTATGGTAACAAAATAAATGGTAGAGACAAAAATGAGTGCACTGGAATTCTCTTACGTGTACAATAATTATATATATATATATATATATGACTTAAATTTTAAGTGTGATGATAACTAATTAAGAAAAATAGAAATAATAACATTCTTTTTTCATCCAGTTTTTTCTTCATCACAAATAAATAATTTACTTTACAGCCTTTTAGTGAAATATGAGTTTTAATTGTCTAATAGATCTTTCATTTTAATAGCAGCCTGTAAAAGTAGTTAATTTAATATTCTTATTAAGTTAATACAGTCTTTATACAGTTTCAACAGTACGAATGAAGCAAAAATAATAAAAATAATCAAAACCATACATTTTTGAGTTCTTGTTACTGCTTTAAATTATGTATTAATTTTATAGAAATAATAAAAGAACAATGTTATGATGATACTTTCAAACTCAATTTAAACAAACCAATAATGCTATATCCAAACGCAAAATTACTTCTCATTACCCAACTTTACTACAGCCAACTTTAGAATTATTAACAGTGACTATTAAAATTGTATGATATTGATATCAGTTATAATCATTAAGTTTGACTATCTCCCTTTAAAAATAATCGCCCATAAAATTATATTTATACTTCTTTGACAATTTGCCTAACATATTGCTTTATAAAATGTAGTGATATCACAGTAAAACTATAAATCATGAACAAATAACAGATAATAAAAGAATGGTTCGTTTTAGTTCGACAGTCAGTATTTACTACCAACACTGTAACTACTTGCGAAAATGTTATTAAAAGGGATTTCAAACATCACTGAGAATGAAAACAAATTATATTAATCCAATGATGCATCATTTCGAAATTCTGAATATTTTCACAAAGTATTCATGCGACTAAAATCAAATCTACACACTTTGATCTGTTCTTCCGCTTATTTTTCTCCAAAGCTTATTTCCCCCATTGATATTATCTGTTCAGACCCCAATGTTTGGTCACTCTTGGGGACCACAGAGTTTATCAGTTAATTTGATATACATTCTTAGGCTTCGTACACTACAAAATAAACGCTCTTCAAAGCTCCAACAAGAATAGTTAATCATTTATATTATCCTGACACGATACAGCTGTAATGTGTACTAAACTCTGAAACAGTTTGACATAAACAAATATAACTATTTTACACCAAATAATTCAGCAAATTCCAAAAGTTAAATATATTCCACCGTATTTCAGAAAATGATAGCTATATTAATGCAATTATAATATCCCACATCCTCCCAATCGTGTCAATAGGTTTAGTTAAGCAAATAATTTTTACATTTTAAACATCTCTTATACCAAAAGAAGCCTGAAACAATTTTTGTTACGAATGGTAGTACTATTTCTATTGACATAATGAGGCAAAACAAAGAATGAAATAAACGTCAGTAAATAGTCCTGACTTTTGCTTGTAGTAAAACGAGAGGAGGGACAAGCGAACAACAGGAACATATCGAAAAAAGACAGTTTATATATTTAGAAGAAATGTGATTTACAGAATACAATTATAAGCTAAGAAATGAATTCTTAGTTCTCCATAACTAATATTATTAATATATGAAATAAATTCTTTTTTAGAGCATATGCATATTTCGATCATACGCAAGCTTCAAAACCTACATTTTATGAGACATTCGATAAACCATAACATACAAATCATAACATCCTGTATATGACCACTAGATTTATGAATTATGCGACAGACAGTAAATTATGGAGTTCTTCATTTGTACGATGTTTCTTATTTCATTTTGAAGCAGTGCCTTATTCTCATTAAAAAAATATATGATATTTAGTTTTAACAACACATATGTGTAGAAGGGGATTAATCCGCTAATAAATTTAGGAAAGTTTCTGAAAAAAATTATTATTACGTCCAAAATTATGCTTTCAGATCTTTTACATGAAGTAAATATTTATGAATATCGTTGTGACATTTTTAGATAACCTAAGGGACAATACAGGTTGTAGAGTCGAATTCCACTGAGTTTCCTATTACACTATCATAATAAAATTGTGAAAAATGATGGACTGTAAAAAGAGGAACAATAATCGTCTGAAAAAATTTGTAACCAAACTTACCCTAAGAAGTTTTCCCTAAATTATTCTTATCTTTGAAAACACGAGAAAACAAAAAAATTAATTCAGTCTTTCAAATATGCCGTATATATACATATATCGTAATAGAGAACTATTGTTTACCTCAACAACCTTAGCAATTAAAAAAGATTCCATTATGAATCCAACTTAGTCACAGGTTAATTCAAAACGAACTGAAACTGGACGTTAGTTTCACCATATTCCAAGACATATCAACTGTCGGAAATGAAAGTAGATGTTCAATAGTAATAATCCTTGATAATCACACAGTTGTTCAAATCGTTTAGAAGTACAAAAATTAAAATAGTGTTTAAATATTGACATAACATTCCATCTTAGAGCTTCTTCCGTACTTACTTATTACTTATGCCTGTTACTCTTCGTGGAGGAGCACAGACCGCCCACTGGCACTCCCCATCAAACTCTGTCCTGGACAATCTTTCCCAGTTCTTTCCAGTTGTTGTTCATCCTTTACTCATCTGCTTCTATTTCCCGACGTAATGTGTTCTTTGGCCCTCCTCTTTTCCGTCTCCCTTCAGGATTGCAAGTTAGGGCTTGCCTCGTGATGCAGTTTGGTGATTTCCGTAATGTATGTCCTGTTCATTTCCAACTTCATTTCTTGATTTCCTCCTCAGCTGAAACCTGGTTTGTTTTCTCCCACAGAATTGTGTTGCCGATGATATCCGGCCAATGGATGTTGAGTATCTTGCGTAGACAGCTGTTTGTAAATACTTGTATCATCTTGATGGTGGTGGTTGTAGTTCTCCAAGTTTCAGCTCCATACAGTAGGACTGTTTTGACTTTCGTATTGAAGATTGTGACTTTGATTTTGATTGACAGTGGTTTTGAATTTCATATGTTCTTCAGTTGAAGGAATATGGCCCTTGTTTTGCCAATCTTCACCTCCACGTCTGCATCCAATCCTCCTTGTTCATCGATGATGATGCCCAGATACGTGAATGTTCCCACCTTTTGCAGAGTCTCTCCATCAAGTGTGATTGGGTTGATGTTCTCTGTATCGTATTTGAGGATCTTGCTTTTTCGCTTATGTTTGTTAATGTCTACTGATACAGATGCTGCTATTACATTAGTCGTCTTCATGTGCATTTGTTCGTGTGCATGGGATAGGAGGGCTAGGTCATCTGCGAAGTCCGGATCGTCTAATTGGCTCTGAGCTGTTCATTGTATGCCGTGTTTTCCCTCAGATGTCAAGGTCTTCACAACCCAGTCGATCACCAGAAGAAAGTGGAGGGTAAAGAGTAGGCAGCCTTGTCTGACTCCAGTCTTTACTTAGACTGCATCTGTCAGCCGTCCTCCATGCACGACTTTGCACTATAGTCCATCGTATGAGTTCCGGATAATGTTGACAATCTTCTCAGTAATTCCATATTGTCGAAGAATTTTCTATATTGATTCCCTGTCCACACTGTCAAACGCCCTATCATATTCAAGGAAGTTGATGTATAGTGACGAGTTCCACTCAAGTGACTGTTCGAGGATGATCCGTAGTGTCGCGATTCGGTCTGCGCACGACCGATCCTTACGGAATCAAACCTGTTGATCTTGAAGTTGAGTGTCTACTGAGTCTTTCATCAGGTTCAGCGAAACTCTGTTGAAACGACCAATTTTTATAGGTACGTGGAACGTCCGGACAATGTGCGAGACCAGGAAGACCAGCTTCATCTGTGATATTCTAGAAATTAAGCTTTTGGGGATTTATATTTGCTTGTGCTTATTCTCCCCAATTGAACACTGAAGCTTTGAAACGAATCAAGTAAGTTAGCATATTTTACGGACACACATTGTAGTGAACAAAACACGAGTGGGGACAATCGAATGTATTTAACACAAAATCACAGGAATTGTTAATAAAATCTAACAATCATAAAGTAAATGCTTAATTTGCAAAATGTCCATCATTTGTCTCAAAATGACTCAGACTTCATTATTCTTGCATTTTCATACAAATTGCATCCTGTTTCCATTCTTTACTGTTCGATCCTCTTATCTCTCTGTTGCCAGACTTTCTGTTATCGACTAACATCATATACTACCTATGTCAATATAAGTAGCACACACCACAACATCAATATAAATCATAACATATCCTTTAAAACATTTACCTGAAATGTATTTGTATACAAATCAAAGGAACGATATTCAAAGTATCACGGTTGTCTGAAGCGACAGTTATTCTTTTAGTTGAATAAACTGAATATATTATCACAAAATATTCAGAAATATTCTGTAATTTCGCTAGAGGAATCTTCAAATACATATAAAACTAATGCATATGTTTCATCACAACAGCTTAAAACTAGAATATGCACCCAAGTAACAGTTGGATCCACATTGCTAACGTGACTAAATATTTCCTTTATTCAGTATTTGAACACTTTAGTTTGGAGAATCTGCCATCTATTAACCTTAAAAGTGGTTTATTTAATTCTTCCTACCCAAAAGAACTTGCTCCATACTCACTAAGAATCGCATAATAAATAAATAAATTTAGCCAGACTTTCCTTAAGGTTAAAAAGAGAAAAAGTGGAAATACATTTTGAAATGTTAATCAGTGCATGTCAGTATTTAACTAACACTAAACACTAATACACGTTAGTGTTTGCTTAAAACCCTAGCTGCTTTCAATGAAGCTATTTATAACATTTGGAATTATTATCTTCATTCGACTAACTCAAAGCCGAATGCTGATTCTCATTTAGCATTTTCGTTTACTTTCAGTTTACTCCTTACTTTCACTTATCTCAAGTTATAAATATACATGATATTTTTTAGACAAATAGTATTTTATTTATAATACCATACATATCATTCAATAGAGCACACCTATACCAGTTATTTCTAATATTTTTAAACCAATAACACCAGTAATTGTCATTTTGTTTTCAACCAAACGTATACGATTCTAATTTAGATTAATTGAATTATGACATATTATTACAGCAAAAAACTAGATGGAATTAACTTAATCCATTAATCATTGGTTTATGTATTAAATAACCAACTAAATGTTTTTTTTACTATGAAATCATTTATCAATCAATAAAGACTTACAAATATTATTGTTAGGCTTTATAAAACTAAAGCAATTCTTATTAAGTAAGCAAGAAGGATGAAACATAATTTGTACTTATAAAATAATATCTTTATGGCTACAAACCAGGATGACGTCTATTGCTTTATTGTCCCATCCAAAATAAGTAAATTATTGTTCAACTACTAAAAAAATACTAGGAAATTAAATAACAGTGACTATAATTCATTTTCGTATTGTTTGTTTAAATCTTATTGATGTTCAGGATTGTGATTGATCAGTCGCTTATTGGCATATGTACATCGTGTTTTAATACCCTTGATACTGACTTAGTTCACAAGCACTATAAGCAAAGATGGGTTGTGTCTATCTGGACTCAGTAGCTAAGTGGATAACGCGGTGACATTTGAAGAGGACGGTACTGGATCCGAGTCCTGGAGAAGACATGAACTCTGGAGGTACATCCAACTGACAAGTTTCAAATAGGACGAAAAGACTGTTCTGAATTCCAATGCTAGCTACCACTAATCTCTGCTTATAATATCAGTGACCTTGTTTATTTCAACCAGATGTGGAATAATAAATAAAAATTTAAAATGTGAACATTTAACTTATTCCTATACAAAGATTAGTAGATCATTGTGGAATAGAAGTTCTTTTGAAACTGATTTATTCACTATACAAAACTGATCTTTTACTTATATCTACAAATTTTATGAAAAAAATGCACAGAAATTATGCTCTTAGACCTAGTGGTAAACAATATTAATGAGTATCATAAAGGTAATACTAAAGTGTGTAACTGTATCGTTCTTCATATTGTTTTGCCAAAAGTTTCATTTCCTAATATTTTATATGCCTCATAAATTTTCTAAGAATTTGAACGCGAGCTGTTAAGCAATTTTAATATGAAATGAAGAATTTGAAAGTTTGTATTTTTAATACATCACCTATCTGCTAAGATAATTATCATAAATAAGTTAATTATTTTCTTGACGAAATATTCCTACAGAAGATTGATCCTAGTCAAAAGTTTGGATATTTCCTAATTTTACATATACAACTATTATTTTTATTAAATAGAATATTTATATACGTGGAAAGTAGCAAGAGCACTCTAAAAACTTGTTTTTTACAGTTAAATTTGTTCTTTGAAACTATTTCAAAAATCAACAGAAATGTACAGCTCAAGAAACGAAACATTCTGGAGTAATAAATTTTTTAAGTGGGATAATTTAAAAAGCATCGTAAAGATTAAGTTCTATGAAAGATAATACAATAATTAATCAATTATGTTCATAAAAATCTTAAAGCATCATGTAGTTTAACAAAACATTATTCACCTTTTTAAGGCCAACTGCACGTAACATAGTATGAAATGTTGGACCAGCATAAACAGCAGTTGGTATTAATGCCCATAAGGAATCACCATATCCATGTAGTAAAATGCGAAAGCCAATAAATCCTTGATTCGGTACCAAATAATCGTAACTTTGTGGATCTAACACTAATTGAATTTCGTCTATGCCTAGAGATCGAGAAATTAAAATTTTTTTATTACAATAGTGTTAAAAGACTAAGCATAAAATGTATCATAATTGATTGTTTTAGATGCATAATTCTTACCTTTAATATGTTTGCAATTCAACGAAACAGAGATATAAAAGTTGTCTGAAATTTAATCGAAGCAGCTGCGGAAATAATACAAACTGGAAAGATTTTCAAAGCATTTCCTTAGAAAGAATTGATTGAAGATTATAGTGTAAGCAGATTAAAAGGTATTTGTAACCTGGAAACAAAATTTTTTGATAAATAATGTGAATAAGATCTCAACGTTGTCAAGTAGTCATCCTATTTTTGTTATAGGCTTCAGAGTTTGAAGTAAACTACCTTTAACATATTAATGATGGGTGGCTCATAATGTTTTTGATAAACTTATAGCTTTACGTGTTATTATGCTGTTTAACTTCATTAATCTCCAACCCTTATCGCAAAAAGACCACTAAGTTTTGTTACATTCTCATAAATGAGTGACATTATGTATCACATTTGCAAAGTAATTTTTCAATAGTTTGTTTGGTTTGAATTTTATTAATTTATTAATTTAATAATTTTATTATTTATTTAAGTGATACCTGTAAACGTAAAGCGGGGAAACATATCTTTCTAGAATAATTCCAGTAGTTAGTATTCGTCAAGTTCAACTCAGTTACTTTGTACTAATAAGGATGATGTTTTATAAGAAATAAAACTAATCATCTAAAACACGACAATAGATAGGAGGGACACATATTTATGGCGAGAAGTTACAGAGTATTTACACAATACGAATTCACAGCTTTCAATCGTACATTGCATCTTTCGGTGTGTTCTGTAACCTGCACTGTCAACGCCGTGCTTTCAATGTATTGGAACGCTAAACACTACTTACAAACATCCTTGTCAGTAGCGCCCACTACAGTAACACTATTATTAGTTTGTTTCCCTACAATAAATTAAACCTTAAAATAATGACAGGCAAACCTAGTCTATTAATAAATGAGAGTTCATAAAGCAATAGGTTTACGGAACTGTGTTTACAGCTTATAGTTATCGTTATCACTAGGTGACGATCGTACCCTACTGTAAATAAGATGAAATCGAAATATGTAGATCTCTGAACTTCTAGATCTGAGGTTTTACTAAACAATTTTTAGCATACTGAGTGTGCAATACAGACGAATCGTATTTCCAAGTAAAGCATGCTTCCACTTCTTTCTTAACCATGATAAATAAGGCCAAGCTATAAATATTAAGGAGATAGATTGAAGTTTAACATAATATCATGAAGACCGATTCAAATGATAATTAACGCAATCATAATAACATGCCTTGTTGTGATCACCTGTTTCCAAATAAATTTTACTCCTTTCTGTTTATCATGTATGATAATTACTTTACCTAAAGTGATTCATATACAGGTGATACACCGTGTTCACTCGATTCACGAAACGATTGGATTTACCAGCAGTTTATCAGGAAATACACTTTTTTGTACAAGATAGTATTTAGTTCAGCCAAATGTTCTTTTCCTGTCCTTTTGTGACCAACAATAACAAAGTCCACATGGATTCGGTGAAAGACTAGAATATTTTCAAATGGATTCTTAAAGAATTCATTAAAAATGAGGGTTTTGTGGATATTGTAGTAATTTAATATTCTAATTCATGAGTCAATTAAAGCCAGTAATGCTTACTATATAGTGACCTTATCACTTTGTAGATGAATGGTTTTGAAGGAGGTTTATATCAACAGCTACTTTATTTCACTATGACTGTATTGCAAATTGTATTATGAAGAATGGTCAAGATTAATCACAACTCCTAGAAAATTTCTATATGCAAAAATAACCAGCCAGTCATAGATGTTCAATGTTTTAATGAAACAGAAGTAATAAGTGATATTTTCGGGAGAATATAAAGTGATTTCTCGGGGATTGTTTTGCTATTGGTTTGGAATTGTTTTAAACAGAAATCAGTATTTTACTGACTAACATGAATTTTTCTAAAGTCAATTAAATGTTCTCCATGCGAATTTACTTAAATACTTACATTTAGTAAATAATTCTAGTTTGTCAAATATTCATGAGACTTTCGCTTTATATAAATCAGTCACTCCTCTTGCGTCAAATAAGCAAATTTAAATGAATTAATGGTTTAATTCATGAGTCAATTAAAGCCAGACCATCATGGATAACCTGAAAGCACTGGACGGTCATTTGTCCTAGTAAGGGACCCCTTGGCAGTGTATATCCACGACCCTGCTCAAGGAATTCGAACCCAGGGCCTTCGATCTCGTGCGCGAACACTTAACCTCCAAACCACCGAGCCGGAATCTGACAGTATCGATGTCTAACGTCAACCAATCCATGAAGTTACGCCACCATCCACCATTATTGAAGACAATGGTGGACGGTTAGAGTTATACATTAACACCGATGGATGGCAGCTCAGTGATCTAAAGGTTAAGCGTTCGCGCGAGAGACCGAAGGCCCTGGGTTCTTATTCCACGAGCGGGATTGTGGATATACACTGATAAGGAGTCCCTTACTAGGACAAAATGACCGTCCAGTGCTTTCAGGTTATCCATGATGGTCTGGCTTTAATTGACTCATGAATTCAACCATTAAATTCATTTAAATTTGCTTATTTGACGCAAGAGGAGTGACTGATTTATATAAAGCGAAAGTCTCATGAATATTTGACAAACTAGAATTATTTACTAAATGTAAGTATTTAAGTAAATTCGCATGGAGAACATTTAATTGACTTTAGAAAAATTCATGTTAGTCAGTAAAATACTGATTTCTGTTTAAAACAATTCCAAACCAATAGCAAAACAATCCCCGAGAAATCACTTTATATTCTCCCGAAAATATCACTTATTACTTCTGTTTCATTAAAACATTGAACATCTATGACTGGCTGGTTATTTTTGCATATAGAAATTTTCTAGGAGTTGTGATTAATCTTGACCATTCTTCATAATACAATTTGCAATATAGTCATAGTGAAATAAAGTAGCTGTTGATATAAACCTCCTTCAAAACCATTCATCTACAAAGTGATAAGGTCACTATATAGTAAGCATTACTCAATTTAATAAAATCATAGTGTTTTGACTAAAAGCTATCTATCAATCCTATGGTGACACGTATCATTTGAACTTGGAAATTTTTGGAGGAAAGAATACTTAGTGAATACAGCTTCAAGTAATTGGTATGAATTGATAATTTAAAGTCTACCGGTTATTGACCTTATTTTTGAGCCATAACTTCTTCAAAAATCTGCCAAACTGGTTTTGACTTAGCGAACAGTTATGTTACTGATTTTTTTCTTATGAAACAGTATTGTAAGCACAAATCTAATTTTATCAAGCATATAGGTTGATATTTTTTCCTCTACTATTATCTGTCTTTATTACCTGAACTCAGATAATCAGAATAAACTAGGAACATTTGTGAAAAACTGGTTTGAGGAAATAAGCAAACTATTAGAACTACTAATAGAGTCTAATATAGAACAAATGAAGGTAATGAGAAAAATCTATAGACTTGCCTATAGTATTTGTAATAGTAATAACTGTTGTGATTAATGTATGAACTACAAATTTGTTACAATTTACTGTTTAGTAAAAGAGAGAGATTTCAAAACCTGTTGATGATATCACATCGTTGTTTGATACCAGGCGAACCGTGCTCAACGAGACAAAACGTCTTAGATTTTCACAGTTACTACTGTTTGTTGTCGTAATTTGTTTAACAGTAAAACGTTTGTTCGGTGTTGTGTTATAATAACTGATGTTTTTGTAGATTTCTTTTTGCAAATCAATTATGAAAAATAAAACAAATACAACTGAATGATAGGAAACCGACCAAGCTAGTCAAGTTGTACCGATTATCCATATATTTACTTTATGTAATCATTCTCTATGTTAACTTGTACATTGTTTAGTCCTTTGTGTTATTAAACGAACTGATCATAAGGGCGAACACAAAATTGTCTAATTTAAAACTTGTAGGTGAATAATTTCGAGATTAAACTACGAAGACTGATTGGTGCATTTATTTATTCCGAACTTTGTGCTACAATTTCGATGACTGATTTGTTTATTTCATGCTAAAAACCTGGATAATAGTAATGTGAAATGGACTGTACACTGACGAAGATAATTAGAGAATTTATTAAGATACCAGTTTTACAAACAATATGAGGGTAAATGTGTTCAGTTAGATTGGATGCTGTAAATCTGTATAGCGAGTTTGGTCTATTAAGCTTTTTCATATATATGGCCTATACTTTTATATGAAGATCATTATGTGGATGAACAATGAAACATCCCTGTCTTTAAATTTTGTTAGCTTTCTAAAGTGATTTCAGTTCAGTAGTTAATCATTTTCATAAAAAATGGGTGTTTTCTAGTTACTCCATACCATTCCTTATCAAATTTGCTTAATATCTGTTAGAGCATTACATTCATTGAATAAACAGTATACGTATGTTATTCAGGCTAATCGATACAAACAACTACCTAATGGTCATCAATCATTATTATAAATTTTGATACACTGTTCTATTGAAATTATAGAACTCAAAGGCAAATAAACTTATTCCTTACTACTGCTTAATCATTTTCCTTCCCAAAAAGTAACTTTTAGACGTTAGTTTTTTAACCGATTACCTAATTTTACTAATAAAATTAATTTAGTTACAACACTTTTAAGCGATATAAATTTATAATGAAATAATGTAAAGTAGTTTGTTTTGTTCGTACTATATGCAATGAAATTATGTTCTAGTTCAACGCACAACTTGCTACAAAAATATTGTTCAAATCGGTGAAATGGCATAATTTAACTGATCATATCAATCTGTTTTTTGATAGTTAAAAAATAATCTTGCAGTCAAAAATGCCTTACGCAAATCATCTTGGTATTAATCGGCAATAATTTGATTTATTGACGTTGTAATATAAATATGAATCTCTACTCATGCTTATTTTTCGAAGAACTATGAATAACCAAATAGCCGTATTCACGACAAACTCTAGTATCCCTTCGTATTTTTCCTAGAAGAGTTGTGCTTATAATCTAATTACGCAGTTTTCTGTATCAATATTATTACATTTATTTTAATACTTAATTATTTGTTTGACTATATCAACAGAAAGGTTACGCAATTAATCATACTGTATAGATGATGTTCTGTTGCCGAAACTGTTATATATTTCCAGTCTTTGCAGTTTTAAAATATTATCACTTTTTCTTATAAAAGGTAGACTATTCACCATAAATAAATATTCACAATACTCCATAATACAACAGTAATAAAAGTTCTAGTCGTACAAACCTACTTATTATTGATTAAAGTATGTACTGGCTTCTTACTAATAAAACAGAACCAGTAATATTAGTTCTATCAAATCAAGCTATTAATTTGTATTTTTATTGTCGATACAGACTACAACAATTTGTTCTCATCTTTAGGACTTTTTTGTGAAAATTAAACCCTATCATTGTTTTCACAGTTTTTTATCATTCACTTGTTTTCATTGTTTAATGCCGTCTATGTGGTCTGATGTAGTGTATAATGAATGTGAAATTCTAAATGATTTATCGATATTCCAATTCATAAATAAGTAAATAAATAAATGTATCAGTTCGTCTATTAGTAATAATAATTACTACTATTATCTTTATTGTACAATTGAACTGTTATGATTGTTGCATAATGATTAAAGTTCTCTACAAGAATGTTTTCTCAAAGTTTATCAGTCTTTTTACTTACAAAAAACAACTTTTTTAGTAATATTATTATTGCTCTAGGCATATTTTTTGGAAATGAATAAATTTCATCAGTGCATTTTAGGTAAAATTGACCAATCAATTGTTTCACTGTAGCTAAATTGTTTATAATTAATGTTTAAAGAAAGGCGTATTACCATTATAGTTAGTATATTTCTGTGAATGACAACTATTACCAAATACTGTTGTATGCTTAATTTCACTAAGTCAGCGTTTAACTAAGAAGCTAACAACAGCATTGAAAAATTACATTAATTCCAGTCCCATATTAAAAATAAATGTAACATTACTGGTTGTTTGTTCATATTGGTAAAGATAGTGTTTTTTTATAACTATATGAAAGAAGAACGAAATTTTTAACAAATTCTCTCTTGATATGTATATTAAATATCATGTAGACTCGCATTAGTACTCCATATCCCTGAATGCGGTAGTTATTTTTCAGGTTTTCAATTGAAAAGAATAATAGTTCTTTTTAAAGGATAGATATAGTGTGGGTGAAAAATAATGATCGGTCATAAACAGAGGATTTCGGTAACTTGAACAATGCTGACCATACGTTCATATGAAATTAAGTACAGAAATTTGAAAGCATACTTTTATTCTCGCTTTCTAAAACCAATTAAAGACAAACAAATGGCTATTTGAATGTCTTGTGAATACATGTAAACTATAGGGAGCGAAATTTTAATCATGTAAAAGTGAATACTCGAAAGTGATAATTCTCGTGTTAACTTACCGGTTAAATCGCCAGTTAGCGTATAACAAGCGCCATTCGGTAGAATGCTCTTTGTAAAATTCAGTACGGAACAATGTCTTTGACCAACTTTACAGCTAATTGAAACGATAATATACATTAACTTTATAGATGCTTATTTATGATTTATTTATGTAACAACTTTTAATAATAGAAAAACGTATATGAACAGTATCCAAGTGACTAAATACTTTATACAAGATTATTCTAAGACTGTTGAAAAAAGAGCTTACCAAGATTTAAGTTTCTTTTAAATAACCTTTAATTCAATAATAATTATTTTATTTTGGCTGAAATCATGAATCTATTAATGTTAGACCACCACTGAAAGCCTGGAAGCACTAGACGACAACGGAAGATGGCTAAGCAATATCGTGGATTAGTTTGAGTTAGGCATTAACACAGATGGATCCCGGCTCAGTGTTCTAGAGATTAGGCATTCTCGTGCGCGACCGAGGGCTCTGAGTTCGATCCCCGCCGGTGGGATCGTGAATATGCACTACTGAGCAGCCCTTACTAGAACGAAACGGCCTTCCAATGCTTCCAGGTTCTCAATGTTGGTCTAACATCAATCGACTTATGATCCCGACCAAACTTAACAATCTCCAAAACTATATTGTTAGTTCTCTTGTTTGTTAAAAAATTTGAAACAACTAGTCATTTTGACAACTTTCGATAATGCAATGAGAAGACGAAGGTTATCAGGATTATGTAGTTTATCTACGCAATACATTCCGAACAATCTGATCACATATAGACATGTTAGGACATTTTTATATGAAAAATAAAAGGTCAACCAGACAAACTAAATGCTAAGTGGAAACAAAGAATAATAATGTACATAAAAACAATGAGAAAACCATGCTGGATAATAAATCAGTATTATCAGGGTAGGTTAAGAGTAAGAACAAATCGCTCCCGCCCCTATGTACGCACATATATGTAAATTTATAGACACAATCGCTTACGTTCTGTTTGGGTTTTTGGTGAAACATAGACCTTGCTTTTTGAATAATGACGAGTTGGGTTGCATAAAATGTCCTATCGATGGCTAATTTAAATCTCCATTTCAACACGAGGCTATTTGATTCGAATATATTACACAACCCTGATAACCTTCGTCTCCTCATTACATTATCGCAACTTAAAATTCTGATCTGAAGTAATTAAAACCGATCTATATGCACTTAAGACTGAAAAACTTAATCCGACCCTAAATTTCAGTATGTTAACAAATAAATAAATAATTGCGAGCACTTCACCAGAACATAATGATACTCAGCATTAAATTTTTCATTTTTTTAATAATAGTAAAGCCTGAAAATTTCGGATTCATAGAGATTCTAAGTATTTGTTGTTAAATATGACCGCAGGAATAAAAGATAGACACAGAACTGCATGCATGAAAGTTCAAAACTCTAGACAACTTAAAATATGTAAATAAGAAAGCCTTTTAGTGTTATTTGATATATACAATGCAAAATGTCTTACAAAATATCTGTTTAGCCTTTGTAGTTAAGACTGTCTCGACAGATATCGCTAAACCAGCATATATACCTCAGTTTAACGTGAATAATAATGATGATTATATATATGGCCGAATTAAAAAAATTACTGACACATACCATATCATCTCAAAAAACCATTAATGCGACATGCACAAACACTTCATAATCGATTTGGTGAGTGGACGAAATACTAATAACCATATTGTTTACCCTATATCATTTCTATGACTTCCTGCAAAACAAAATTTTCCATGTATCCGAATAATATGAAGACACAATCATCCTTCAAACATTTATGTTTTATTTAATATGGTACTTTTTGGTAGTACTGGTCGTGTTCAAAGTTTTTCCCTATAACTCAAAAATGTTAATAACCTAGTAAGTAAGACTATTAGCATTATAAAAAGGTAAATGCTTCACAGTCAATGATTAAAGTTCGTTAAATAGCAGACAAAGTGCTCCACATTCTTCCTTTACTATATGCTTTCAACGGAGATAAAATTTTACAGTACTAAATTTTTGATGCCCAAAATTAGATCATTTGATTCAGAGAACAAGTGTAACGTGTGATCATTTTAGAAATCAAATAAATGTTCCTGTAGAATAGAATGAATTGTTGTAATAGGATTTCAAAACCATTATTGAATACGTATATGGATATGTATATGTGTATGTCCACTTGCTGTGCAGTAGAATTCAATTGTCTTAAGTCATAGAAATTGTTCAAATCCTTCAGGAAGGTAATTTTATAAAACAAGTGAAAAATACACGAACAAAATTTAATTGGTCTTGACAATAACCAAGTCAATTTTCCTTCTTTAAACGATGTAGGCCATGTCATTATAATGAATAAATTTTCATTTCATTCCCTTCAAATCAAGTCTAATATTTAACTCACTTTATTACCCATTATTATTACCTTGACCATATTTTTTTAAATAGTCAAAATATATTTTGATTTCCGAACATATATTAAAGCAAGTCAAGAAGCAAAGCTAACGCAAATTTAAAGATTTACTAAACCACCTAAGTGTCATTATAATGGTTCATGGGTATATTCAATTATGCGATCAAAGCCCTTCAAAAATAAAATAATAAATAAAGCCCTTCTAAAACAGTGACGATCAGTGATATTTACTTTTTTAGTGCTGTCTGTAGCTTTTTTCTCGTTACATTTGTTGTTCTTGGCTTCATTAACTTGTATTTTAACTATGATGCTATAGATCTTTAATGTTTACGATGTGATGACTTTGGATGTGTTAATACACCCTTGTTAAATAATTTCAACATGTCTCAAAAAGGTCACAAAATATAATCATTGGTACTTTATACGATGAATAGTCATCTAAATTAGCTGGAAAAGTTTGTTTTTATCCACTGGAAGGACTGTCTATTTATAATTAGTCTCGCTTCGCTTTGGAAAATATCACCAATATATTTCCACCAGAACAATAATTCGACTGAACTAAAAAACCACTACAGTTGAGTTTGTTTAACCACTCATCAAAAACGTTCTGACATAATCATCTACCAGAAAAGGTTTATAATAAATAAAACTCTTTAAGATCCAGTGTATATCACATGAAATAATTTCGAAGAATTATAATGCCGAAACTTGTGTTCCATAGTACATATTATACATATTATACATACGATATCTTCAATAATTATAGTATATTTGGGAACGAGAAAGTTGATTACAGTAGTGGACACTTATCTATTGGCTATCGTTTATGCTTCGACATACTTTACCTTCTTAACATTTGATCTATCTGATGAGATGCTTTCTCCATGAGCTTGAAAATTGGCACTTTAAGTTTGCTTTCCGGGAGGTTTTCACTTGAACGTCCTTGAAAAGCATCCGAGAAAATTTCATAATCAACACCACGATCCTGAGACTCAGCTGACTGAATATTGTACAGTTTAGTTCCCCTTAATCAAAAAGATGTAATTTAATGTTAGAAAGAACCATTAGAACATTTTTTACAGAACCCAGTTTATACATTAGGTTTATGAAAAAGTTATCATTTAGAGGCGAGTAAATTTTATAATGCTGAAAATTTCATAAAATACTTGATAAACAACCAAGCCGCCATATTTGTTGTTTTAAATCAGTCTTGTATTTAGATCATCAGCGTACATTAGTTATAAATCCTATTTTAGGATACATAAATTTTACGTGCTTGAGAACTGACTGTTGCATACTTACGAAACCAGTCATCACCAGTTCATTTATAAAAGTTATCGAAACATTTGCGATGCATCGTGTTATTGGAAAGCACACGAAAGATTAATGTGTAGATCTGGTACACAGATGTAGTCCTCATTTTCTTTTGTATAGAGCATAAAGATTAGAAGTTTGATCAACTTTGAATGGCTTTTCTGGCAATATTAAAAATAATTTATTCTTTCACAAACATAAAGCAACATATTCACTAAAAATACAGTTCTAACAACGATCAATGTATCAATGGTAACCCATTACTTTATATCATTCAAAAAACCCAAAGAACTACATTTATAACTTTTTAATAAGTGGTCATGCTTTCAACCATATCAGTCAGTCAGCAACAACGTAGAACTTCATACATACGTACATCAGTTCAAGTTGCCATACCACATTAGCACAGAGACACAATTTTCAATTCAAATCCTGTAGTGGTAGAGGCGGTAACAGTATAAGCAGTAATTGGAAAGATTAGGGATTGAGTTTGTTATTCAAGGAGCATAATCTCGTGAAATAAATTTGGAAAGAGGAAAAAAGGAACATGAAAAGTTCAGAAGATTAGAATTTCCAGGAACACAAAGAGTGTGGTGCGTGCTACTTATATTGACATAAGTAGTATATAACGCGAGTCAGGAATGTAATGTCTGGAAGCAGAAGATTTGGAAGATCAGGAAAAGAAGAACGGGGATAGAAATCCAAGAGCAATAAAGTCCGAGACAGTTATTGAACATTTTGCAAATTAGATATTATATTATGGTTTTTTCTATTTTACCAATTAACTCTGTAATGTTGTGCAAAATGTGATTCGGTTGTCCTCAACTGTGTTCTCCTTCACTACAAGAGTGGATGCATCTGAGCCATGACAAACGATTTTGAGCCATGTCATTCAAGGTTTCTAACCATCGGTTTCTATCATCTCGCGGATCCCAACCAGGTAGTCTAAACCTAGCAACGTGGCTCAGTCCACTTGTCAGTGACCTCATAAATTTGTGCCATGTTTTGGACTGGCCGCACTTTGTTTTCTTCTAATCTGATCCTACATCATAAAACATCGCACGTCGTGGTAGTCAGTGGTTGGGCATACGTAACACATGTCCCAGCCATCTCAACTGATGAAGTTTTAATACTTCATAAATTGATTTGCCATCCTTACCTAGTACCCGTTTCCTAACAACTGCATTACTTACTCAGTGGTCCCAGGATATAAGAGCAATGTTTTCGAAGACACCTATGATCAAATACTAGTAACCCACAAATATCCTCTACTCTTACTGGCCATGTTTCACTGCCATAATGCAGGACGGAACGAACTGCTGCGCAGTAAATCGGTCCTTTGGTTGATAGATGAATATCTTGCCCACGCCATAAGTGACGCAAGTTGGCAAAAGCTAGTCGAGCCTTCTGTATCCGTACTGAGATTTCGTCACACACCAGACCACAAGGGTTGATGAGACTTCTAAGATAAGTGAAGCGGTCGACACGCTCAACTACTTCACTCCTTATCATTAATTCAGGTATCGATGCAGCCCAATCCTGAAGTAGCATTTTGCATTTCGAGGGGAAGAATCGCATCCCGAACATGTTTGCATCGTTGCTTATGATGGTCAGAAGACTCTACAATCTGTCAGCGTCTTCACCAAAAAACTATATCATCGGTTTATTCTAAGTCAACAATTGAATCTCCCAGTAAGTGTTCAACTCCTAGGAATTTAGATGAGGAAAATGTAACCTCTAAAAGCACTTCAACGACAAAGTTAAACAAGAATGGAGAGAGTGGACTACCTTGACGAACACCACTGGGGGTAGTCAATTGTGATGATAGTTCGTCATAAGCTCTCACTCGACCAGCTGAGTTTAAGTAGAGAGCGTGTATAAGGTTTGTGCACTTCTGAGGTACTCCTTACAGTGACAAACACTGCCATAGAACCTCACGATCATTCATACAGTTCCACGTTTAAGCTTTGCGGATAATTTCAGTCATTTGTTTTCAGCGTTTAATAACTAAAAAATTAGGTCTTATAAGAACTGTTTTGCCTCGCTGTCAAAATTGCTGCAAAGCTTTACATATCACGACTGATCTATGAATACTTCTAGCACTCGGCTATCAAAAAGATTAATTTTGTCTATTATACTCACTGTATTCTTGCTTCTTATGTGATATTAGAGTGTTTCTTTGCAAACTTAAGGGGAGTCTATTATTTTTTGGCAGTTTTTGAGAACATTTAAAAATTATTTAGTATCAGGTATTATTTAAGCGTGAAGCAACTTCTGTGTAGGGTTTATTCAGATCGCTCATTTAAATCTCAAATTATTTTATGGCATTTACAGAAACAAATCCACTTACCTTGCTGGATTAATATTACAGATACTGATCAAAGGAAATGGCAAATTACTTTGATGATCCTCGTAAGCTGAAATAATCATTTTTGATGCCAAACTGTCGTAATGCTTCAACCAAACATGTACTCGATAAGTGATCAAGCAAGCTACTGATATGCACAGCAAAAGACAGATTAGTCTAGTTGAAAAAAAAAATTTCCTTTACTATTAAGCGCAACGTCGTAGCACTTGTCTCGAACAATTTTATAGTGCCCACACAGAATTTGGAGTTAACGAAATACAAATAAAAAACGCATAAGCCATTTTTTCAAGTGTCATTTACATTAAATTCCTATGAGCACATTGCTTTAGCAATGTTATTAATAAAATCTAAACTGTAATGGTTATTGCTTCAGGTATCAATTTTGTACGGAGATATCCTGAATGTTTGTAGCCCATAAACAACTTTTGTTAGTGCAAAACGAAGTCCATTGAACAAACACAACGTGAAGACCTTCTAGTTATTAACATCACTGCCTTTAGCCGAACAGTAATAAGCATTACTGTCTGGTACTTTGTTATAGCTGCGTATAGCCAGCGATTCGCATACATTACAATGACATTAACAAGCAGCTTGTAAACAGGCAATAAATTAATTTGTCATGCATTTCTATGACGTTTTCAACGAACTCTATGTGTTTTATTCCCAGTGTACCACCAATTTTATATATCGCCAATGACTTTTTACCATCCATTTCAAAAGTAATAGCTTTCAACATTTCGAATTCAATTTTTTCCTACAAAAGAGTTTGCAGATCATTCACACAAACTAATAATAAATAAAATAATCAGTTAGTAAACAAAGTCCTTCTTTGACTGCCTATTCGCCCTGATAAAAAGGTTTAAAAAGTAAACAAACTACCCTATATAATCGTATGACCAATATATCGTCTTAAATAACTAAAATACCATGTATTACACTTTATTTTATGGCACGTTTACCATTATCGATTGTGTGTGTTGTTGTATAAGAGACAACGATAATTATTATGGCAACAAATTTTAAGACACATATTTGCAGAATTGATGCAAACATTGAAACATTCAATATAAATCACCCATCATATAAGAATACGTTTCTACATAAAAACTAAAAATTTATATTCTGGAATGCAGAATAAGCAATGCTTGAAAATGAGTCAACGGTACTTTAAATTTGCCATAAATAGTCATTGTAATGATTACTATTCGGTTACAAATAAGGTTTTTTGAAGTATAAATAGAAGAAAAAGCTGAAAAAGCCATCGGAGATAACCCTTAATAATTACTTCTTGGCTCCAATTGATGTCCACTTGGGGCAGCAGTGAATATTCATCATATATATTAAAACACGCGCAAATATAAGTGAAAGTACAAATGCAACAGTTGTATTAAACAATCAATAATGAACCAGGCAAACTAAACACTAAGCAAGATAAATCATTTAAAAATACAACGTCAACATTTGATCACTTGGTCAATTAAATGCTGAATGCATTTGGCCGCTGTTATTGAGCTGATAATTAAATCCTATCCACAGTTTTGGAAAAACTTGACATAACTAATGGAATAATATCTTTTTCTCATCACTGTATTGAAATATTTAACACTCCCAAGGATTTCAGGTGCACCATCGTCTTATTACTAAACAACCACACTAATAACTCTGACGACGATTGTCATAACAATGTGGAACCACTGTACAGAATATCTATCTGTATCGATCAACTCCTTCCTTTCTCAACACTTCAACTGCAACATACGCAAATCCACTTTCTTGAAAACACAGGGCTTGAGGACAGGTGACTGGATCCACGGAAGTTCGCCCGCTAGGATGGTCAAAGGTAACGTCAAAAGTTCATGTATTTCAGAGTCCGTTCTTTTGTAGCATATATTCAGTCATGCTATTTATTTTTTTAATTTCGAAACTTTCATCTCATACTCTCTACTTAAACTATCATTCTGCTCTTTAGTCTACTGAAAAACACACTTCATCGGCGTTGTTATCAGTACTTACATTATAATTACAAACACGACTACCAGAGGTAGAGGTCTAAATTTGAAACCTGATAATAAGTCAACATACCTGCTTCCGGCAACAGGACTATAAGAAAGCTCGAAGAGAAGCAGCATAAATTGTCTCGGAGTAGTGCGCACGACATATACTTACTTACTTACTTACGCCTGTTACTCCTCGTGAAGGAGCATAGGCCGCTCACCAGCATTCTCCATTCAACCCTGTCCTGGGCAACCCCTTCGAGCTCCTTCCAGTTCCTATTCATCCTTTTCATATCTGCTTCTATTATCCACGTAATATGTTCTTAGGCCTTCCTCTTTTCCGCTTCCCTTCAGGATTCCTAGTTAGGGCTTGCCTCGTGATGCAGTTTGACGATTTGTGTAATCTATGTCCCACCCATTTCCATCGTCTTCTCCTGATTTCCTCTTCAGCTGGACGCTGGTTTGTCCTCTCCCACAGAAAGTTGATGCTGATGGTATCCGGTCAACGGATGTGGAGTATCTTGCGTAGACAGCTATTTATAAATACTTGCACCTTCTTGATGATGGTTGTTGTAGTTCTCCAAGTTTCAGCTCCGTACAGTAGAACTGCACTGACGTTGGTATTGAAGATTGACTTTGATATTGATTGAAAGTTGTTTTGAGTTCCATATGATCTCCAATTGTAGGAATGTGGCCCTTTCTTTGTCAATCCTCGTCTTTACGTCTGCATCTGAACCTCCTTGTTCATCGATGATGCTTCCCAGGTATGTGAAGGATTCCACATCTTCCAGGGTTTCTCCATCATGAGTGATTGGGTTGCGGTTCTCCGTGTTGTATTTGAGGACCTTGGTTTTCCCCTTGTATATGTTGAGGCCTACTGATGCAGAGACCGCTGCTACACTGACTGTCTTTACCTGCATTTGTCCATGTGTATGAGATAGGAGGGCTAGGTCATCTGCGAAGTCCGAATCGTCTAATTGATTCCGAGCTGTCCATTGTATTCCGTTCATTCCCACAGATTTGGAGGTCTTCGTAATCCAGTCGACTACCAGAAGAAAGAGGAAGGGAGAGAGTAGACAGCCTGACTGACCCCGGTCCTTACTTGGAATGCATCTGTCAGCTGTCCTTTATGCAACACTTTGCACTGTAGTCCGTCGTATGAGTTCCGGATAATGTTGACAATCTTCTCAGGAACTCCAGTGTCGAGGGAGTTTCCGTAACGTCTTTCTATCTACACTGTCAAATGTCTTTTCATAATCAATGAAGTTGATGCGCAGTGATGAGTTTAACTCAACTGATGGTTCGACGATCACCCGTAGTGTCGCAATTTGGTCTGTGTACGACCGGTCCTTACGGAATCCAGCTTGTTCATCTCGAAGTTATGCGTCTACTGCATCTTTCATCCGGTTCAGCAACACTGTGTCAAAGACTTCCCCTGGTGTTGACAGTAGTGTAATGCCTCTGTAGTTCTCACATTTGCTCAGGTCTCCTTTCTTTGGAATATTGACGAGGTGCCCTTCTTTCCATTCCATCGGCACTTGTTCCTCCTCCCAAATCTTTTTGAATAGAAGGTGAAGCATGTTTGTAGTTACTTCGATGTTTCACTTCAGTGCTTCAGCTGATATGTTGTCCGGTCCCGCTGCTTTCCCGTTCTTGATTTGTCTGACGGCCATTCTGATTTCTTCCTTCGTTAGTGGGTTGACGTTTATGGGAAGATCTGTGTGTGCCGCTTCGATGTCCGGTGGATTCATTGGAGCCGGCTTATTCAGGAGTTCCTCGAAGTATTCTACCCATCTGTTCCGCTGTTATTGAATTTCAGTGATTGGCTTGCTTTCTTTGCTTTTGACCGGTCTCTCTGGTTTACTGTATTTCTCTGATAGTTTCTTCGTTGTATCGTAAAGTTGTTTCATATTTCCTTCTCTTGAAGCTTTTTCCGCCGTCGTTGCTAGTTCTTCCACCTATTTCTTCTTGTCGGCTTTAATGCTTTTCTTCACTTGCTTGTTTGCTTCTGTGTATTCAGTTTGTGCTTGGACTTTCTCTGCTCGTGTTCGGCTGTTGTTAATTGCTGCCTTCTTGTTCTTCCTTTCTTTGATCTTGTCCAAAGTTTCTGAACTTGCAAGATGTCGCATGAGACTATTTTGTAAATAAGCCTTCTTTTTGTGCAGAACACCACGTATTTTAATTTTTGAAAATAAAGATCTGTGGCCGTTACTCCAAGTTCTCTCTTGGTGTGAGGTTCTTTTCAAATCAGCTGTGTCGACCGATGGCACTCGGGCGTGTTCTCTTATTGGTCGAGACAGCAGCACTTCGACAAACGTGGGCATACCAATTCTTCTCGCTCCATGATATCTAGACTAGGAAACACCTGAACTGTTATTTGTTGCGAAGGGTGGAGATAGTCAGTGGGATCTTCACTCGCTTTCTGGTAACGTGATAGAAATTGGATGGTCACCTGCTGATCACACGCGCTAGAACTGATGATGGAGGTGTCTATGGCAAAACGTGTCGAAATCTATGATGAACCGCTAGTGATTCCGGACAGGGTAGCACCCGTTACGGCTCCCCGCCAACCGCCACTACTTGAAACCCAACCAGAATATTCTATATGGAAAGCGAGAGTAATAGAATGTCTACGTAAGGTCTCGACGTCAGAGCACTCCAATTATTTCTCATATTACCTAGACGATGAGATGGCTAAAGGACCTCCAATTCTGAGGGCAAACACCAAATGCATTGGACAGGTTGGATGCAACTAGAAGATTTGGACTTCACAGATAACCTGGCCCTTCTATCCAATACACAGTAACAAATGCAGGTCAAGACAACCAATGTGTCATAAACCTCTGCATCAGTAAGCTCCAACATACAAACGAGAAAGAACATGATCCTCAAACACAACACGAACGCCAACCTTATCACAGTTTCACGTACCTTGACAGCACAATCGATGAACGAGGAGGATCCGATGCATACATAGGGGCAAGGATTTGCAAAGCAAAGACAGCATTCCTACAGTTGGAGAACATGTGGAACTCAAGACAACCTTCAGGTGACATCAAATTCAGAATACTAAATACTAGTTTCAAAACAGTTCTACTGTATGGAGCTGAAACTTGAAGAATTGTAACGACCATCAACCAAAACATACAATATTTACTTAGTTGAACACTTAAATATCGGTACATTGGCATGAAAAACACATGCACTGCACGTATCATTTGATTTATGTAAGGGCTGTGATGCTGACCTAGACGGCCAAACCGATGCAGAACAATTGTTATTAAGTATTCGAATGGTTCAAATGATTCTGGACGGAATAGAAGAAACTCACGCTTAACGGGGTTCCGTATCTAGTAACAGTGAATCACTGATGCTTTCAGGTAGGAACCTAGTCATATTATTGATAAAAGAAGAAAAAGTAAAAGAGTTGGTGAATCATAGTAAGATATCATCCTGAATCCTTAAGGATATGTAAGGTTGTCTCCTGAAGGACTCCTAGATAGTCTCTTGGACTAGCTCAGCCGGTAGTGAATTCCAGTATTTGGATACTCTTAGAGAGTAGAGGGTATGCATACAGTCCGTTCTGCTGAGTTGTGTCTTCATTTGATAGGTGTCACCCCTGAGTTTGTAATGAGACTAAGCCTGAGTAGGTATATAAGTGTGTACTCAGAATTGTTAGGGAGGCTGTAAGTCATTAGGTTACACCTAAGACGCCTATATAAAAAGGCTGGAACGGATATAAAAACGCCATTACTCAAAATTTTCACATTATCTTCCGTGCCAGGTATACATTCCGAAACCAGTAAGGTAACTTATGTTGTCCCCGAACACACATCAGGAACTATAAATACCACATCGGTCATAACACACACGGTGGAACAATTGATGGAAGATAAAAATATTAATATATTCTCAAATAATAGTTCGTTACATGAGGCATGCCAGTTTACAGGCAAGAGCAAATTGTTACAAATGATACAATTTTCACCGTAGCAAATTACTCAACCGGATTGATATTTTATGATATAAATTTAGATGGTTTTATTAGGAATCATATTGTCAGTATCACAGTTGACGCGTTTTATGAAGGTTGCGTTGTGACGTGCAACTAATGTACGAGGATAAATGCATGTGAAGTTGAGGGCTTCTACAAACCACAAATTATATATCCCTCTGGAATATATGAGGTTTTGATGATGGAGCAGGACGAACTCACCCGTTCCATATCTGTTTTTGGTGGTATATCTCAAGGGGGCTGAAAAAGGGTGCAGGAAAAAAGAAAAGACGAGGAGAAGAACACACAATGTTCATGAAGGAATAGTTAAACTATGACTGTTCAGT